CATCCATGCACCATCATCCATTCTCCATCCATCATCTATCCATCATCCATCATCCATCCATCATCCATCCTCCATCCATCTTCCATGCTCCATCCATCCATCATCCATCTATCCATCCATCATCCACCCATCATCTATCCATCATCCATCCTCCATCCATCATCCATGCACCATCATCCATCCATCCACCATCCTCCATCCATGACCCATCATCCACCCATCACCTATCCATCATCCATCCTCCATCCTCCATCCATTACCCATCCTCCATCCATCATCCGTCCACCATCATCCACCCATCATCCATCCATCCATCTATCCACTACCATCCACCATCCACCCATCCATATCACCTCCTTTTTATCCTCTCTCTGCTAAGCAAATCTCTCCAACCTCATTCAAACTCTGGGCCTCGCCAGGGCTCAGCACCCCCGGGCACACTGTCCCACTCTCGTTTCCTGGCAGGCCCTGCTCCCTGCTCCACAACCCAGTTTTCTTCACCAAGTGGCATCTCACTTTAACCAATGCATCCCCGGAGAGGCGCTTCCTGCGTGGCAGACGCTGCTGACTGTGCACTTGACATTCAGACCCCGCTGCCAACAGGAACCTGGGGGGGGGCCACACTTGCGCAACGAGCGCGGCGATGCCCGCAGAGCAGGGCGTCTACTTTGCCCTAGTCGGGGCAAGCGGGGGCAGCCAGTGTCGGCTCTGCTTCACCCCCAACAAAAGTGCTGCCTCTCAGGGCAGAGATCAAAATCTCAGCCTGCAGCAGATTCGCCCTGAGGCAGCAGCCCTGCTCCTCGCGTCGAGGGAAGTGAGTGTCAGTGGAGATCAAAGCGCCTGCTCGTGACTTGTGCCCGCGGGCGCATCTGGCGGAGGCTGGCTCTGCAGGGCGCGCCCTCGGCCCCCAGCAGCAGAGCCTGGCTTTGAAGCTGTGAAGCTGGAGGGAGCGCCCCGGGCAGCTGGGGTGCAAGAGCGGCCTCCAGCGAGCACCATCTGGGGCGCCTAGAACAGGGAGCAAGGGAAGAGGGGGCGCCGACGAGCAAGGCAGGATGTGTCGGGGGCAGGGGCCGGATGTTCGGCCCGCAGGTCACTCCTGGGATGGGTCCCGACGCCGCCAGCCATGGGGCGCCTTTCCTGTGCAGGCTCCCCGCCCCCCGTGGGCCCAGGAAGGGTGAGCCTGTCCTGCTGGGGGTGTGAGGAGCTGTTTGTACATCCTGGAGCTGCTTCTGCAGCGGGTTTTCTCACTCCCCTGCCGTAATGTTGGGGTTACGGGTTGCACCAAACCACCGCTGCCTGCCGCTCCCCCTTCCGACCTCCACCCATTCCCTCCCGTGACCGTTAAATTCTTTTACAGAGCCCAAGGTTTATTCCCACTGGGTTTCTGAGCCACAGGGGCTGAAACGCCACGCAGCTCCCGTCTTTCGCATCTGGTTTCTTTTCCTTCACGCCAACACCTCGGTGTCCACGCGTTTCCCCACAAAGCCGCCGCTTCGTCTTTTTCACGCCTGTGTAGTATTCCTCCGGGCACACTCTCTCAGCTGCTTCCCTGGCCAGCCAGCCGCGGGCACGGGCGCACGATCCTCTCGCACACCCGAGCTCTTGCGTGTCAGAGCGGTGCTGCCGGGGAACGAAATTCCCATTGTCTTAAGACGTGTCCACGCTGTCTCCACCTCGCATCCCGACCCACAGTGGAGCTCCTTGTCCTCCCATCCTCGCCAACCTCTGCTCCCACCCGTTGCCCTTCAGGCTGTTGTCCAGGGCCGAGGTGCATCCTAGGGGGACAGGCTGGTGTGAGGTCACAGCAGAAGTTGTGTGTCACCCCGAGTTCCACCTGCCCTGGCCACCGTACCCCCAACAGCACCAGAGCTGGTCACCCAGCTGCCCTCCTGTGCTGACCACTGGGGGTTTGAGGTTTGGAATTTGCATTGATGTCCAGTTGTGAAGGGCGTGGGGGTCTGTCTGGACACGGGGTGTCACCGTTGACCCCGGCATTGAGGGGAGCATGCTGGCTCCACTGCCCCCTCTGGCCCCGTGTCGCCTGCATGCATGTGAGGCCGGAGCCCTGTGTCCTGAGGGTGCACGAGGTGTCCACCTTGTGCCCTTGGGGAGGGCAAAGCCCAGCCGGGTGAGCGCAGGTGGGTGCTGTCCGGGCCGCAGCTCTCCCCTGGGCTCCGTCTTGGAGCCTCCACAGAGAGCAGGTGCGCCCCGCTGAGTGCTGCTGGGCTGGGCACGAGCCGGGGGGAGGGAGGGGGTGCTGGCAGGTGTGGGGCCGGCGGCGCGAATGAGCAGGTTCCCAGCCCCGGCGCCGTGAGCGTTGTGCAGCTCAAGGCTCGGGAAGACGGGCCGGCGGAGGGGCCGTGGCAGGATGTGTGGCCGCCAGGCAGCAGGATGTGTGGCCGCCGGGGCCGGGGAGCTGAGTCGGCGCCCGGGATGCCGCCGTGGGAGGGGCAGGCGGGAGGACCGGGCACTCCGGGAGCTGCAGGGACAGCGCCCCGCGGTCGTCCATCGCCACCGGGGGGTCCTGGTGGCCGAGTGGGCCAGACCAGCGTGGCCGGGCCGTGGCCTCCAGCCAACCGCAGTGTGGACGGAGGTGAGCGTGCCCGACCTCTGCGGACGGAGCTGAGGGTGCACGATCCCTGCGGACGGAGGTGAGGGTGCCCCGGATGAGGCGCAGGACCTGGCGCCCGGGCTCTGCGGCCCCCGGATGAGGTCGAGGGTGGAAACCACGAGGAGTCACGTGCTTGGCCCTCCCCCAGGGATGGCGGGGCCGGCACGAGCCCAGGTGTCCTGGGCTTCCTGCCGGGGTGGGGGTCACTGGTGTCCCTCCCCCTTGTTCAGTCCATCGCCTCCAGCCCCGGGGGCGCCCGCCCTCCCCGGGCGCCTCGTCTCAGATGCTGTCCAGGAGCGGGGCCAGCGCGGAGGACGGGGTGAGTCTGCGCCGGGCAGTGTCCACGGGCCCCTGAGGACGCGGTCAGGCCCGGGCGGAGCAGTGTCTTGGGGCTTCGCGGCCGTCCGTGGACGCGGGCTTTGCTGGCCGGCGCCGCGCCTGCGGGGCCTCTGTCCCTCCTCGGGTCCCCGCGCTCTGCTTCCTCTTACTTCTTCTTCCTCCAGAGGTGACCTGGGGGGCAGGACCCCCCCGGGGCCCCCCGCAGTCACAGCTGCCGTCGGTGTCCCCGAGACCACGCCCCGCACTCACTCGCGTCCCCCGCGTCCCCCGAGGGCCCCTGGCCAGCCAGGACCCTCCCCTCGCCCGGCCCGGCGCCCCGCAGGCCAACGGCTGTTGCTCATTTCACAAACTTTCCACCCCCGCCGGCCCCGCCGGGCGCAACCACGAGCCTGCACTTTGGCGAAGCTGTTACAGACGGGGCTGCCCACGCGGGCACCTACCGGGGCACCCTGGGACGAGCACACCGGAGGCCGTGTGGGGCAGCCGCGCAAGGGTCTTCCCCTTACGGTGCCGCCTCAGCTCCGGGCACCTGTCCTTCCACCCTGCAGCCCACGGGGCCGGGCACGGTGCCCGCACAGCAGCGAGGGTCCACCTGGGCGTGCCCCGCGGGCACAAAGTCGCACAGTCAGAGTGAAACTCGGGGCCGTTTTTAAAGTGGTTTGGGGAAGGTCTCGCTGCAGGTTGCAGAGGCAAGTGGCGCGGTTCCGAGGAAGAGCCGCCGGCCGGGCTGGGGGTGACATCTGAAGCGCGGGTGGGCCCCAGGGCAGGGTCTGGGGTGCACACACCGCCGACTGCCTGCCGCGGAGTACCCCGTGCCAGGGGCTGAGCAGGCCGTGCTGCAGGGACAGCTGCAGGCGTCACAGGGCCCTGAGTCGGGCATGAGGGCTGGGGTGCCCCGGGGTGCCTGAGGCTCAGCTCAGCAGGCCCAGCCGGAGCCCCGCACCCCGATTTCCAGAGCCCCAGTGAGATCAAACAAAGGACGGAGCCACCTGCAGAGCTGCAAGGCGGTAGCGAGCCAGGGGCGCTGCAGCGGGAAGGGAGGGAGAGAAACAGGTGTCACGCCCAGGCCGGGTGCCCGGCTTCCTTCCACGTGGCCCGGGCAGCGCCCCAGGGGAAAGCCCCCCGCGGGCCCAGGCCCTGCTGCCTGCAGCTCAGGCCCCCCTGGCAGAGCTGCTGTGCCCGCGCCCCGAGCCGGCCCCGGGGCCTCGTGCGAGGAACAGAGTCAGGACGCAGGGGGCGCAGCGGCCGGGGCGCAGAGCCAGGGGCCAGGCGGGGCGGGGGCTGCCCCTGTGGCCCGCGCGTCAGTGTGGAGGGAGGCGAGGGTCGGGGTGCAGGGGACGCCAGACGTCGCGGCAGTAGAGCCCGGGGTCGGGCTGCTCTGGCCCCTCCGAACCCCAGCGCAGTGCTCTGCCCCCGGGGAGCCTCAGCTCTTCCTCTGCAGGAGGTGGGCCTGAGGCCATGCGCATAATGGAGCCTGAGGCCATCCGTGTAACGTGCCTGTGGCCATCACTGTAATGGAGCCTGAGGCCATCCGTGTAACGAGCCCGAGGCCATCCGTGTAATGTGCCTGAGGCCATCACTGTAATGGAGCCTGAGGCCATCCGTGTAACGAGCCCGAGGCCATCCGTGTAATGTGCCTGAGGCCATCACTGTAATGGAGCCTGAGGCCATCCGTGTAACGAGCCCGAGGCCATCCGTGTAATGTGCCTGAGGCCATCCATGTAACGAGCCCGAGGCCATCCGTGTAACGTGCCTGTGGCCATCGCTGCAATGGAGCCTGAGGCCATCCGTGTAACGGAGCCCGAGGCCATCCGTGTAACGTGCCTGTGGCCATCACTGTAATGGAGCCCGAGGCCATCCGTGTAACGAGCCCGAGGCCATCCGTGTAATGTGCCTGAGGCCATCACTGCAGTGGAGCAACCTCAGGGCCCCAGTGCCCCGGACCCCGCAGCGGGCTCCCTGCAGGCCCAGTAGCGCCCGGGTGCGCGGAGTGTCTGCTTGTGTGAGTGTGGCGTGTGCAGCTCACACGTGTCCATCCCCTGCCTTGCAGACCCGCCCTGAGACCCCGGCAGACGCCCGGCAGGGCCCGGCCGGCACCATGGAGATGAACCTCAGCGGCCCCGACAACGCCACCATCCTGATGCTGCGGGACCCCGCCATCGCCGTGGTGCTGCCCGTGGTGTACTCGCTGGTGGCCCTGGTCAGCATCCCCGGGAACCTGTTCGCGCTGTGGGTGCTGTGCTGCCGCATCGGCCCCAAGTCCCCCTCCATCATCTTCATGATCAACCTCAGCGTGACCGACCTGATGCTGGCCTCCGTGCTGCCCTTCCAGATCTACTACCACTGCAACGGCCACCACTGGGTGTTCGGCGTGGCGCTCTGCAACACGGTCACCGTGGCCTTCTACGCCAACATGTACTCGTCCATCCTCACCATGACCTGCATCAGCGTGGAGCGCTACCTGGGCGTGGTCCACCCCCTGACCACCCAGCGCTGGCGCCGCCGCCGCTACGCCGTGGGCGCCTGCGCCCTCACCTGGGCGCTCCTGCTGGCCGCCCTGTACCCGCTGGCGCGCACGGACCTCACCTACGAGGTGGGCGCGCTGGGCATCATCACCTGCTTCGACGTGCTCAAGTGGAACATGCTGCCCAGCCTGGTGACCTGGGCCGTGTTCCTCTTCACGCTGTTCGTGGTGCTGTTCCTCATCCCCTTCGTGGTCACCGTGGCCTGCTACACGGCCACCATCCTGAAGCTGCTGCGCACGCAGGACCGGCACGGCCCGGCCCAGCGCCGGCGCTCCGTGCACCTGGCGGCCGTCGTGCTGCTGGCGTTCGTCACGTGCTTCGCGCCCAACAACTTCGTGCTGCTGGTGCACATGGTGGCGCGCCTCTTCTTCGACCGCAGCTACTACCACGTGTACAAGCTCACGCTGTGCCTCAGCTGCCTCAACAACTGCCTGGACCCCTTCGTGTACTACTTCGCCTCGCGCGAGTTCCAGCTGCGCCTGCGCGGCTACCTGGGCTACGGCCAGCTGGCGGTGGACAGCCTGGACACGCGCAACGAGAGCGTCTGGTCCGGCCGGACGTGCTCGGCGCGCTCCGCGTCCTGCAGCGCCCCCGAGGGCCCCCGGGCGCCCGCGCGGCCGGGCTTCCACAGGCAGGAGAGCGTGTGCTGAGCTGGCCCCCCTCGCCAGGCAGGAGCGCGCCGGAGACGGTCCTGGAGAGGCCGCGCGCCCCAGGACAGAGGCGCAGGCTGGCCCGGCTCCGCGCTCCAGCGGCGACCCCTGGGGGGCGTCCCTCCTGCTGCGTTCTGCGCCGTGGCCAGCCTCACGGCTTGGACTGGCCATCCAGGGCGCTGGGATGCGCCCGGCAACCTTGGGTCAGCCAGGAGGACTTGGGAGCTCGCGCGCGCCCCCCAGCGGGACTTCCAGAGACCGGTCCTTGCGCACGGAACCTTGAGAGGCCCCCCCTGGGGTCCGCGTTAGGCTCCTTGGCCAGGGAACTTGGGCGAGGAGAAGGTTGGGGGGGGGGGGGGGGTGTGTGTCAAGGGCCTTGGCACGGGAGGTGGGCGCAGCAAGGGCCCCGGGGGAGAAAAAGATGGGGCCAGCTGCATGATGGCCGGGTCAAGTGTCCCCAACCGCTAAGGCTGCCTAGACCCTCGGGGTGCAGCTTGCCTCGGGGGTGCCTCCCGCGAGGACCTCAGCAGGAGCCCAGAAGCCAGCAGGTCCAGGCCTGGCCTCCAGAGGGGCGCAGGGACCCGTGGGGCCAGGGCCGGGCAGCGCCTAGTTGCGCCGACCTCCTGTAGACGCGCACGGCGACGCGCTCCCCTCCCTGCGCCCAGGCGGGGTTCCCAGCGCTGGCTCCTGCGCTTCCTCTGCTGGAAGAGGAAGCCCCGCCCACCGACCCCGGGGTGGGGCGGCGCGCACCAGGGGGACCCCCTCGGCTCCCTGGGGGCGCCCAGCAAGGCAGGGCGGGGGAGGGGCTGCCTCAAGAGCGCTTTTCCAGGAGTTCCCACGGGGTGAGCGGCCTGGCTTGGAGACATGGGAGGGGCCGGACTGGGGCCTTGGGTGGACGGCCCTGGGCAGGCGGCCCCCCTCTCTGCGGGCTTGAGGTGCCTGGAGGGGCCCCTGGGAACCCCGATTCCTGCTGTTTTTGCTTTGGGCGAAGACTGTCCCCGAAAGCCACGTCTGGATGTGCCATGCTGGAGACCCCGAAATCCTGCAGCCCCGGAGCTGGGAGAGGCGCAAAGGGGCCTCCCTGGTGGGGGTTGGGGAGGGGAGCGTGGCCTTGGGACCCCTGGAGTCGGCCTGCGGGGCTCAGGATGGCGGTTTTAAGTCGCCCGTTTACGGCACACGGTGCTGGTCAACGCGCGACACCCACACCCACACTCAGGCCTGGAAATTGCGTCTCTGTGGGTGCTGGCCGGGGGCCCCCTGCTCCTCCGGGCGCCGGGGCAGGCCGGGGCGCGCGGGCCTCACTGTGGCTGCTGACCCTGGGGTCACCCCAAGCTGGCTGCCTGCGGGGTCGCCCCCCAGCACCCAGTTTGAATCCCCAACTGGCCGGTTAGGGGCGCGCGGCCAGCGTGTGTCCCGGACTCCGGACACGGCCGCGCCTCGTCCCCGAGGCTGCGTGGACTCAGGGCACCGTGTCCCCAGACCTTCGAGAGAGACCCCAGGCGTCCTTCCACGCGGACAGGACGACCCCAAAAGCCAGCCTCGCGGGGATAACCCAAGGTCTCGCTGTCCGCTCCCAAAGCCGGCGCCTAGAAAGCAGGGGGCGCAGCCCCCCGCCTGGGAAACCCCCAGCCAGCCAGAGGCGCCCTGGAGGCCGGGGCTCTGCAGCAGCCGGTGTGAAAAGCCTCAAACCACGCACACGGCTTCCGGGGCTGTGGGTCAGGGGAGGGGCGCTCGGAGGAAGCCTGTGCGTCCTGCGACCCAGGGCAGACCGGCCGCTGACCCCGGACACCCGCGTCCCCAGCACCGTCCACCCTGGACGCCGCAACTGCCCGCGCCCCGGGCGCTGCCCAGACAGAGGCCGACCCCGCCCAAGCCTCAGGGCACCCACGGGTGCCGCTGCGCCTCTGTGGCTCCCGGAAACCCCCGCCAGCCCTGCCTCAGCATGTTCGTGGAGGTGCGTGCGCGCTTCCCCGGGGCTGCGCGCGATCTGCTGAGCTGTGAAGCCTCAGCCACGAGATAAGACACCGCAGGGCGCGCGAAGACACGCACGCAGCCGCTACGTGCTCGGCGCGGGCTCCTGCAGGATGTGGGCGCCCCGGGGACCGGCAGGACGGCGCGCCCTTCCCCCGCACCGAGCGCGCGCGCGTTGTTTCTCCTCGGATCTCAGAGGCTCCAAGGACGCACCCCGCTTGCCAGCGCGCGCCCTGCCTTGGTCCACGGACCCCGGGACGCGCGCTGCTGGGCGAGGCGCGTGGACCGTGATGAGGGCGCGCGCTGTGCGCAGGGTCCCCCCCCCGCTGAAGGGGACGTGAGCGTCTTGGGGCTCTCCTGAGCATCTTGGGAGCCTGGGTGTCGGCTTAAAAACGCTGCCTGCGGGTCTCCCTGGTGGCGCAAGGGGCTGAGGAGCAACCTATGAGGCCGTCCCTGCAGCACGAGCTCGATCCCGGCCAGGGAGCTGCCCACAGGGCGCAGCGGACCTCTCCTCTCTCCCCGCTGCTCCCCTCAGCAGTGGATTTCAGTGGATCCACCTGCTCTGCTCCCCACTCTGTCTCTGGGGCTGCTCGCACCCCCACACCTCTGGCCTGCACCCCCGCTCTTGTATGCACTAACAAATAAACCTCTACAAACAAAAACGCTGCCTGCGTGAGCACATGCCATCGCGCGTCTGTGCTTTGCACATGCCATCCTGCGTGTGCACACGCCTGCTGCGAGCGTGTATCTGGGGCAAAGGAATCACGGAGGGATCACGGAGGAGCTGGTGAAGACGCTGCCTTGGAGAGGCGTGTCCTCCCCGGGATGCGGCAGCAGGAGCCTCGGGTCTGTCCCACGGGCACCCCCGGCCCTGGGACCAGCCCTGTCCCGCCGCGCGGTCGGGAAGAAGCAACAGCCCCGGCTCCTTGGGGTTCGCTGCTCCGTGATTTGTATTTTTCATTTTTTTAAATTGTGCCGAGACGCGCCGAGGTCGGCACGGGCCGTCCCGCTCCCTGTGAGGCCACCGTGCGGCTGTTACGTTCCTCCTGCCGCGTCTCCAGAACTTTCTCATCTCTCCCGCCAGAAACTCTGTCCCCAAGACGCACTTGGGCCCACCCCCTCCCCCCGCTTGTCTCCAGCACCCACCGCTGTCCAGGAGGACGGTCCAGGCTGACCGAGACTGGGGGTTCTCGGCTGTTCAACCCGCTAGAGGCTGCAGCGCCGGCTGGCCTGCGAGATGTTCCCTCCCGGTGGCCGGGAATCCAGCGCGTGATTCCGTGGCACCAGGGAGGGTCCCTGGGGCTGGGCCCCTCGGGGTGGAAGACGCAGGAGGGGGTCCCGGGGCCGACAGCCTCAGCTTGGCACCGCGGGAACCGGCCCCGACAGGCAGCAGCGGCGTGACTGGGGCAGCTTCTCTGTGGGTCTAAAAGCATCGCGAAACAAACCTCCCACTCGTGGTACAGGACGCAGGTGGTTGGTTCTTGGGTAGAGCTGGAGGCCAGTTGTGGGGACTCACACTGGAGCACCCCAACCTGGGAACAATGACCTTGGGATGCCCGGGGGGGTCCCGCCTGGTGCACCAGGTGAAGAGGAGTAAATGGGATGCGGGGCTGCTGTAGATGCGTCTACCTGTGTGCACACCTGCCTGTCCGTGCGCCCACCTACCCGGCCATCCATCTTCCACCCACCTGGCCATCTGTCCAGCATCCAACCCACCTCGCGCCGAGCCATCACCCATCATCCTCCATCCACCCATCATCCATCCATCGTCCATCCATCATCCATCAATCATCCATTGTCCATCATCCACCCAGCATCCATCATCCATCCTGCATCCATCCTCCATCATCCATCCATTATCCATTCTCCATCCATCCTCCATCAATCATCCATTGTCCATCATCCATCCATCAACCACCCATCATCCATCCATCCATCATCCATCCATCCATCATCCATCCATCCATTATCCATCCATCCATCATCCATCCATCCATTATCCATCCATCATCCATCCATCATCCATCCATCATCCATCCATCCTCCATCCTCCATCCATCATCATCCATCCACCAGGCAGCCACCATCCAACCCATCTTCCCACCCATCCATCAATCATCCATCACCCATAATCCTCCATCTATATATCAATAAATCAATATCATAGGCGATATTGATAGGCCATATCACAGATATCATAGGTGATATCTGTATATCAATCACCCATGTGACCCTATCTAGTCCATCTGTCCACCTCATCCCTCTCCTCTCCACGGATCTTCCATCTGCCTGTCATCTGTCACCTCTAGTCGTCTGTCTCTTTCCTCTCTCTATTCTGTCATCACCCATTCACCTTGTATCCACCTAGTATTTTCATCATCTATCTATAAATACATTATCGTATCTGTATCATTCTGTATCATCTGTGGATCTATTGCATCCTTCTGTCCTTCCATCCATTCATCAATCCAGTTCCTCTGTCAATCTATCTATCATCCCTCCATCCGTCTATCCGTCCATGCAACCAATCCTCTATCTATCCATCTATGTGTCTATCATCCATCCGTCAGTCCAATTCCCTGTCCCTCCATCCATGTATCTATGTATCGATCACCCATCTATCCAACCATCCTCTACTGATCTATCCATCTCTCTATCATCCATCCATCCATCCGAGTCCTCTATCTATGCATCTATGTGTCTATCACTCATCTGTCAATCCAACTCTATCCATCCATCCATGTATCTATCTATCTATGTATCGATCACCCATCCATCCAACCATCCTCTATTGATCTATCCATCTATCATCCATCCATCCATCCATCCAACGAGTCCTCTATCCATCTATCTATGTATCTATCATCATCCATCATTCAATGCAATTCTGTCTATCCATCCACCCATCTATCCATCCATCCATCTATGCATCTATCATCCATCCATGCAACCAATCCTCTAATGATCAATCTATCTATCATCCATCCATCCGACCAATCCTTTAGCTATCCATCTATCTATCTAGCTATCTATGTATATCCATCCAATCCTCTATCGATCTATCCATCTATCTATCTATCATCCATTCAACCAACCCTCTATTGATCTATCTATCTACCATGCATCCATCCATCCATCCAACCAATCCTCTATCTATCCATCTATGTGTCTATCATCCATCCGTCAATCCAATTCTCTATCCATCCATCCATGTATCTATCTATCTATGTATTGATCACCCATCCATCCAACCATCCTCTATGGATGTATCCATCTCTCTATCCTCCATCCATCCGAGTCCTCTATCCATCTGTGTATCTAATCATCCATCCATCAATCCAATTCTCTATCCATCCATCCATCTATGTATCTATCATCCATTCATGCAACCAATCCTCTAATGATCAATCTATCATCCAGCCATCTGACCAATCCTCTATCGATGTATCTATCTATCTATCTATCTATCTATCTATCTATCTATCTATCTATCTATCTATCTATCTATCTATCTATCTATCTAACTATCTCATCCATCCAACCAGCCCTCTATTGATCTATCATCCATCCACCCATCCAATCAGTCCTCTATCTATCCATCTATGTACCTAACATCCATCCATCCAACCAACCCTCTATTGATCTATCTATCATGCATCCATCCATCCATCCATCCATCCATCCAACCAATCCTCTATCTATCAATCAATCATCGATCCATCCACCCTCCCTCTGGCCTATTTGCCACCTGTCCATCAAGCGCCCGCACACCCGCCCTCCGCCTGGCTCCGGGCTTCTCAGCCGTGACGCGCGGGCCGGCGCTGCCATCTAGTGGCGAATCCTGGGGTGCCGCTGGCCCCTCCGGCACCCCGCGCCCCCCCCTAAAACGAAGGACCCGTCCCCGCAGGGCCGAGGCCGACAAGTCCGCCGGATGAGGTCGGACTTCAGGGCTCAGGCCTGGGGGTCCCCCAAGCCCCTGTCCCTCCGCTGAGCTCACGGGTTGGGCAGTATCAGAAGCCCAAGTCGCCACCCCGAAAGTTGCGGCTCCAAAAATAACGTGAAACCCGAGAAGTTGAGCAGAAAATGGTTTCCACGTGCGTTTCCATTCTCCGTTCAGGTCCGGCGCGTCTGTGCGGGGCTCGCGCGCGCGGGCCGTGGGGTGCGGGGCGCTTGAGTTTGAAATCACTTGGGACGCACAGAAGTTGGGGGGCCCCCCAGGGGTACACATGCCACGTGCACCTCCTGGGTTCCCCGAAATGATGGGGCCTCCGTCCCAACTGCAGGCACAAGCGGACGCCCCCAAGCACCGGACGCCCCATCTGCACCCGCAAGGCCCACGCCCCCGTCTCTGCACCCCTAGGACCTGACGCCCCATCTCTGCACCCCCAGACCCCAGAAAGGGCGCAACCACGCCCCGATCCCAGGATGCTTATGGAGGACCCCTCCGGTATGGCTCCTGCTCCAACCCCGCATCTCTGCACCCCCAGGGCCCACACCCCGTCTCTGCCCCCCAACCCTCCCCACCCCTCTCGCTGGGAGTATCACCCCCAAACCCCCGCGGGGACCCCCCCTCCGTGCTCTCCCCCACCCAGGCCGCCAGCACCCGCGTCTCCCATTTGTCTCGGATGCACCCCCGTGCCCGCGGCCCCTCTGGGACCCCCCCAAAGCACAGGGCGCACCCCAAGTGCGAGACTCTGCCGGCGGGGACGCCCCCTCCCCGCGCACGCCCCGCGCGTGCCCCGCGCGCCGCCCTCAGGGAAGGCACAGCCGCCCTCGGCAGCCGGGACCCCCGCCTGGGGTTCTGGGGTGCCTCGCCAGGCCGCGGCGGGGCGGTGGGGTCTGCGCAGGCGCGGGCCGGGGCGGGGCGCCGCGGGGGGCGTGGCCTCGCGGCTCGGGCCGCTCGGGGCGGGGCCTCGCGGCTCGGGGCGTGGTCAGGGCGGGGCTGCGCCAACGGGCCGGGGCCGGGGCGGGGCGGGGCTCCGCGCGGAGGGGCGTGTCCGGGGCGGGGCCTGGCGCCCGCGCAGGCGGGAGGGCCGGGGCGGGGCGGGGCCGGGGCGGGGCCGGGCGCGGCGGGGCGGGGCCGGGCGCGGGGCTTGTGCGCGGGCGCAGCAGCGGCTGCCGGCGGGTCCAGCGCGGTGGGGTCCGGCCGCGGGCGCGGGCGCGGGCGCGGGGGCGCCATGGTGCTGAGCCCGGTGCTCCGCAAGCTGCAGGGCAAGCGCGTGGTGCTGGCCAGCGCCTCCCCGCGCCGCCGGGAGATCCTCAGCAATGCGGTGAGCCCCCCGGCTGCTCGGGGCGGGGGGGGGGTTTGGGGGGGCCGGTCACCCCGGGCCGACAGACGGGCCTCGGGGCCCCCAGGCCCGGTGCCTGGGCGCGGGAGCCCGGGGGTCAGCTGCTGACCGCGTCCCCCCACCGGCCGTGGGTCTGGGGGCTGCGAACAGGGCCCAGCGCCCCCGGCCCTGCAGGGGTCAGTGGGCAGCGCAGGGACCCGGGTGCCCCCCGGCCAGCTCATGGGGGCCCCTAGCGACCCCTGCGTGCCCCGATCTGCCCCCGGGGCCACGTGTCAGGACCAGGGTGGAGGCAGCTGGCCCTGGGGGTCTGGGGGGCCCCCCCGGGTGGGCGTCCAGACATGGGGGGACAGTGTCCACTGCGAGGCGGCCCTGCGTCACGGCCACCTGTCCCCTGGACTCTGGAGCCCCCGCCCTGGCCCGCGCCGGTCACCTCTGACCCTCGGGGCACAGCCTTCCCCCGGGTCACCACCTGGGCCCAGCCCGGCTCCCGGACCCTTTGACCCTTGACCAGTGTCCACGGCCCCGGCCCGATCGATGCCGCCCTGCTGGCCCCTCTGTGGGTCCCGCAGGTGCACGGCTGGCCTGGCTGGCTGCCCCCCAGCCCCCTCCACATGCCTGCCCTGGTCTCCTGCCCCCCAATACCCGCGTCCAGCCCCCTCACCTCCAGGCCCCCCATCTCCAGGCCCCCCATCTCCAGCCCCCTAATTCTCAGCTTCTCAGTCCTTGCCTCCAGGCCCCTAGCCCCCAGCCCCCAGTCTCCAGGGCCCCATCTCCAAGCCCCCCATCTCCAGCCCCCTAATTCTCAGCTTCCCAATCCCTGCCTCCAGGCCCCTAACCCCCAGCCCCCCAGTCTCCAGGCCCCCCGTCTCCAGCCCCCTAATTCTCAGCTTCCCAATCCCTGCCTCCAGGCCCCTAGCCCCCAGCCCCCAGTCTCCAGGTCCCCCATCTCCAGGCCCCCCGTCTCTGGCTCCCTAATTCTCAGCTTCCCAATCCCTGCCTCCAGCCCCCTAACCCCCAGCCCCTCAGTCTCCAGGCCCCCCGTCTCCAGCCCCCTAATTCTCAGCTTCCCAATCCCTGCCTCCAGCCCCCTCACCCCCAGCCCCCCAGTTTCCAGGCCCCCCGTCTCCAGCCCCCTAATTCTCAGCTTCCCAATCCTTGCCTCCAGGCCCCAGCCCACAGCCCCAGTCCCCAGCACCCCCAGTTCCAGGCCCTGTCCCCTCAGCTCCCAACCACCCTAATCCTGCCTCCAGTCCCTGCACCCTAGTCCCCAGCCCCCCAATCCCTGGTCACCCAGCCCCTACAATTGCTGCCTCCTGCCCCCAGCCCCCAGCTACCCTAATATCTGGCCCTCCCTCCTCCCATCCCCAGCCACCCCAAGCCCTGCCCCCAGTCCCCCTAATCCCTGGCTCCCCAGCACCCCCAGTCCAGGCCCCCTCCCCCCAGCTCCCAACCACCCTAATTCTGCCTCCAGTCCCTACACCCTAGTCCCCAGCCACCCTAATCCACACTCCCAGCCCCCCTAATCCCTGGCCACTCAGCCCCCACAATCCCTGCCTCCTGACCCCAGCTACCCTATATCTGGACCCCTCCCCCATCCCCAGCCACCCCAAGCGCTGCCCCCAGTCCCCCTAATCCCTGGCTCCCCAGATCCCTCTGCGCAGGCCCCACCACCCCAGCCCCTGACTCCCCAGCCCCCAGGTCTGTGCGCTCTGCCCCCAGCCCCACCCAGAGCGGGGCCCGCAGCCCCCCTACAGCGCAGTCCAGCAGGTGCACCAGCCGGTGGGGGCGCCCCCTCAGCCCACGCCCGTGGCCCACCCTCCGCCTCCCCGGGACCGGTCTCCCCGCGAGCCTCAGGACCCCTCTTGTGCACTCGCAGGGCCTCAGGTTCGAGGTGGTGCCGTCCAGGTTCAAGGAAAGGCTCAGCAAGGCCTCCTTCCGCAGCCCCGACGCCTACGCCATGGAGACCGCGCGGCAGAAGGCGCTGGAGGTGGCCGCGCGCATGCACCAGGTAGGGCCGCGCCCCGGGGACGGGGGACACAGCCTGGCCCCCAGCCTGGCCCCCAGCTGGGCTGCCCCCCGCAGGCAGAAGACCGGGCCTGGGTGTGCGGGGACTGCCCTGGGGTGCACAGGCTGGGCCGGAGATGCGCAGGGACAGGACAGGGGTGCACAGGGACTGGCCAGGGGTGCAACAGGACAGGACAGGGGTGCATGGGACTGGCCAGGGGTGCATGGGACAGGACAGGGGTGCACAGCGACTGGCCAGGGGTGCATGGGACAGGACGGGGGTGCACAGGGACTGGCCAGGGGTGCACGGGACAGGACGGGGGTGCACAGGGACTGGCCAGGGGTGCATGGGACAGGACGGGGGTGCACAGGGACTGGCCAGGGGTGCACGGGACAGGACGGGGGTGCACAGGGACTAGCCAGGGGTGCACGGGACGGGACAGGGGTGCACAGGGACTGGCCGGGGTGCACGGGACGGGACAGGGGTGCACAGGGACTGGCCAGGAGTCCGCAGGAACAGACCAGCGGTGCCCAGGGACTGGCCAGAGGTGCGCGGGGGACGCAGGGACACAACCTGGGCAACGCAGCCCGGCAGGGTCTGTCCCTGCGCGTAACCTCGAGGCCGGACTGTCCCCCCGTGACAGCTTCACGCGGGAAGACGGGGCGCCCAGCCGTCTCTGCGTGTGGCTGCGGGAGGGACTTGCTGGCCACAGCGGCGGCGTGTGGGCGGGTGACCTTTCCCGTGGCCAGCGAACAGGCGGGCGTGACGAACACTCAGCCCCGAGGGGGACCGACGTGGCCCGCGTGGCACTGCGTGTGGCGTCGTGACGACTTATAACTAGTGTCACTATCACGGAGGATGGACGATCCACGGAGCTGAGCTGTTGCCGCGTGTGACCACGTAACAGACCCTGGTCACGAATGCGGCCCTTTGGCTGTGACACAGTCACATGTACACGTGATGGAATCATGCATGTGTTGTGTATGTTATGCAACCACACGCGTGTTGTATGTTAATGTGTGGCATGACATGTTAGTGTGATACATGGTATGTAGTTAACGTAGCTGGCCTGTCACACGTGAGCACATAACCGCCGTAATTAACGTCCCTGTCATGTATGATGGAGCATGAACGCGGCTGACCTAGTCCTGCACGTTGCTATGTAACAGACATGCATGACACATACATGATGCTGTAAAATTAGCGCAGCTGACCTGCGATTACTGTGTGACCCTTAACAGACCCTTATCGTTCACGTGACTCTCAAGCTGTTACTGCATGTCACGTCATCACACACCATCGCACACCATCACACACCATCACACACCACCACACACCATCGCACGTCCCGTCACGTCTGGCGTGGAACTCTGGTGACGGCTGCTACGCGTCAGACTACGACGGTTGACGTGACCGTCTCCTGCGACGGAGACCCACGCGGCGTGGCTGTCAGTCCGGGTCCCCGCGCCAGCCCCGGCCATGACTGACGTGCTCACGCGTGGTGGCGCGTGAACGTGGCTGAGCCATCGTCCGTCTCCCCGGGTAGCTCGGGTGTGGCCATCGTGACGCTCTCGCTGGATGAGGAATCGGGCGTGTATATCGTCCTCACGTCATCATGGTTTCGTCCTTATCGCCCCTACACGCGTCGCCCTCGACAGGCCCGCCACGTCGCGCCCATGACACGGCGTGAGCGGCCTGCCGGGCGTCACGCCACTGTAGCACACGGCGTTTGACAGACATACTCGCCCCTTTTGTAAGGTTTATTTATTGACGCACGCAAGAGCTGGGGTGCAGCCAGAGGTGCGGGGGGTGAGAGGACTCCCCAGAGGCAGAGTGGGGAGCAGGACAGGTGCATCCCCTGAAATCCACGGCTGAGGGGAGCAGCGGGGAGTCAGGAGGGGTCTGCTGCGCCCCGCGGGTAGCTCCCTGGCCGGCCGGGGATGGAACCCGTGCAGCGGAGGCTGCCGATAGCGTCATCGTGCTCAGACTTACCCCCTGGCGCCCCCAGGGACGCCCCAAGTTTGATCTTTAAATGCCCCCGACGTTCACTTTTGCACCCAGATTTCAGAGAAGCGTCTGCATCTTCCTCGTCCATTTATGTGACGCCCCAAGTCCCTCAGAGAGGGTCAGAGTCGCCGGCCTGAACTGCATGATTTGGGGGTGGGGATTTGCGTCCTGACCTGTCACCCCCAGCCCCAGTGGACATGCACCCCAAGGGGCTGTGCTTCTCCGGCCGAGCCCAGCTTGCAGGTGGGCTCAGGTGCGTCTGCAGGGGCGTTAGCGTGAACCCCAGGGCCCCTCTGGGTCTGCAGATGTCTCGGGGTCCCCCATCTTGACACAAAGACGTGCAGACTCCAGGGCCCTCCCACCTGAACGAGCGTCTGTGTCTCTTGCAGAAAGACCTGCGGACCCCGGACGTGGTCATCGGCGCCGACACCATCGTGGTGAGTGTCCAGGGCCTCGCGCGTCCCGGCCCTGGTGAGGGACACGGAGCGGCCGCAGCGGGGTCCTGGCGTCCGGGCCTCCCCCGAGCGTGCATGGACCGGCGCACACCCACCCCAGACACCTCGTCCGAAGTTTGCACACGACCCTGTTTGCACACAGGGTCCCCCGGGTGGGGGGCGGCACTCAGACAAGCCACATTGGGGAGCCCATCTGTACCCCCTGACCTGCGGGTGGCACCGCCGGGGTGTATCCAGCCTCTGGGGCCCTTTGCTCTCAATCCGCTTGCTCCGACGTGGAGGTTAACTGCGGCAAGCCCGGCTGTGCGTCCACTATCGGGGGCTCAGCTGCGTCCCCCAAATTTCCTAGCACCCGAGGATGCTTACAGCCAAGTCTGTAAATAGTTCGAGGAACAGTGAGGGGGCCTGGTGGGGGTCCTGACCACAGGACGGGCCACTAGGAAGCGCAGGTGAGGACAGACAGGTGTCCCTGGGGGGACAGGGGAGAGGATGGGCCACATCCAGGAGGAGCCGCCTGCCCCACCCAGGCCGGACCTCAGCCCAGGGCGGGGAGACCCTTCTGGGATGTGAGTCCCAGTCTGGGATTTTCTTAATGGCCGCCCCAGCAGAATCAATGCATTACGCCTGGGGTGCACCCCCCAAAGGTGTTGAAGGCAGGTGTCCCCAGAAAGCCTTGCACACGCCAGCTCACGCCAGGAAAGTCTCACCGCGAAGTGCACATAGCCCAAGAGTCCACGGGAAAATGATGGGCACACGGATGGGGCCCATCCACGCGCCGGGGGAATATTACTCGGCCAGGAACAGGGAGGAGCTGACATTCCCAGCCCCGTGAATGACCTTGAGAACACGATGTTCAGGGAGCCAAGCACACACGGTGTCCAGTCCTCAATAGGGAATGTCCAGAACCAGCCGGTCCACAGGGACAGGGAGTGGACACTTGGCACTGGGCCGGGCGGATGGACGTTGGCAGGGTTTTCTGAGGTGGTGAGGGACGGGAGTGGGGTGCTGGCTGCAGAGCCACCTGCGATTTGTGGAGCGTAAAGGTCAGGTCTCGCGGCCATCCCCCCAGAGATGACCCTCTGTGCCCTGTGTCCCCTCAGACGGTGGACGGGCTGATCCTGGAGAAGCCGGTGGACAAGCAGGACGCTTACAGGATGCTGTCCAGGTGGGCGCTGGGGGGGGCCTCGAGCTGGTGAGCGCTGAGGGCCAGCGGGCCGGAGCCTCCCCCCCGGCCCCGGCCCCTGGAGTGGACACACCCCTCGCCCAGCCGGGGTCTCCCTCTGGGTGGACAGCCGGACACCAGGGGACACGCGGGGGGCTGTGTCTCCACAGGCTGAGCGGCAAGGAGCACAGCGTGTTCACGGGCGTGGCCATCGTCCACTGCTCCAGCAGAGGTACGTCCGCCCTGCCCTGGTCACCGTCCTGGCCAGTCCCTGTCGCTGTGGCGCGATCGCTGCCCCTGGGAGACCCTGGCAGGCTCTCCAGCCTGAGGCCAGTGTGGGCGGCAGCGGCAGGAGCCTGCTGGCCTGCAGCCGGGGGGACCTCAGCGGCTCTGCCCTTGCAGACGGCCAGCTGGACACGGAGGTGTCCTCCTTCTTTGAGGAGACCCGGGTGTGCTTCTCCAAGCTGTCCGAGGCGCTGCTGTGGGAGTACATCGACAGCGGGGAGCCCATGTGAGTGGGGGTGGCCGGTCCCAGCCGCAGGGGGCAGAGGACGGAGGTGTGTGGTCACCCCTGGCCGTCCCGGGGCCACGCGCCCCACCCACCAGGCTCCGGGAGGGCCCTTCCTGCTCCCGCAGCCCCCGGGGTGCCCAGTATTTCTGCTGAGGCTGCCGCCAGGAGAGTCTCCCCGGCGGGAGGCTGGACGTGCAGGCCCAGGTCCTCCCTGCTCTGGACCCCGGGAAGGCCAAGGTGGTCATCGTGTGGCGACACCGCAGGATGTGGGGCGGGCCCGGGGTCACCCCGCGCTGGGCCTCGGCGGCACGAGCCCCACCTGGCCGCGTGTGAGGCCCCGCCCAGCGCCCCGGTCTCCCGCGCAGGGACAAGGCGGGCGGCTACGGCATCCAGGCGCTGGGCGGCATGTTGGTGGAGGCCGTGCGCGGCGACTTCCTCAACGTCGTGGGCTTCCCGCTCAACCGCTTCTGCAAGCAGCTGGCCCGGCTCTACCCGCCCGACGGCCCCGCGGGCGGCGGCTCTGCCCCTGCGCCCAGCGAGGGGGTCGGCGGCCTGGACGGAGCGGGGGCGCAGGACGCAGACTGCAACGGGGCGCCGGAGAGCCCGGGCGTCCACCCGAAGGACCTGCTGGAGCTCATCGACGGCTTCAAGGCCTCCAAGGTACCCGAAGGGGGGACTCGGCGGCTGGGCAGCTGGCCCCAAACCCCGGGAGCCCCCGCTTGTCCAGGCCTGAGCCCAGGGGCCCACCCCAGGGCTGCGCACCCCAGGCTCCAGGGGACCCCTTCCTGCCGCCCCCAGCTCCAGGGCCCCAGGCGGGTCTGGGTGGGGCCGAGTCCCCATCTAACTCCGGGTGCCCGGGGCTCCTCCTCCGTGTCTGCGTCTCCTCATGTGTCCCCTGTGAGGACGCGGTCCTGGGTGCGGGGCCCTGACCTGGGCCACGGCCTGTCGGGGCCTCACTCGTCACCCCTGAAGGGATCCTGTTTCCAAGGTGCTGAAGGCAGGGATGGGGATTCTCATATCAGTCCATCATCCACCATCATCCATCCATCCTCTGTCCATGATCCATCCACCGTCATCCATCATCAACCATCCATCATCCATCATCATCCACCATCATCCATCCATCCTCTGTCCATGATCCATCCACCGTCATCCATCATCAACCATCCATCATCCATCATCATCATCCATGCATCACTCATCATCATCCATTTGTCATCCACCATCATCCGTCATCCTCCATCATCCATCATCATCCATTCATCATCCATCATCTATCCATCACCCATCTAACATCCATCCATCATCCATCCGTCATCCACCCATCATCCATCATCATCCATCATCATCCATCCATCATCTGTCCATCATCCATCCATCCTCTGTCCATGATCCATCCACCGTCATCCATCATCAACCATCCATCATCCATCATCATCCATCATCATCCATCATCATCCATCCATCATCTGTCCATCATCCATCCATCCTCTGTCCATGATCCATCCACCGTCATCCATCATCATCCATCCATCATCCATCCATCATCATCCATCATCATCCATCCATCACTCATCATCATCCATTTGTCATCCACCATCATCCGTCATCCTCCATCATCCATCATCATCCATTCATCATCCATCATCCATCCATCACCCATCTAACATCCATCCATCATCCATCCGTCATCCACCCATCATCCATCAATCATCCATCGTCCATCCATCATCCATCCTCCATAAACCATCCTCCATCCACCATCCATCCATCCTCCATCCTGACTATCCATCTATGTACCCACCTACCATCTTTCCATTTACATATCCTTGTATCTCCCTCCCTGCTCTCCATTGGTCTGTCACCTGTCCGTCTGCCTACTTACCCACCTGCCAATCATCTGCCATGTGTATCTTCCATCCCTCCCTACCTGTCCATGTCACCTGTCTCTCCATCTACCTCCATGTCCTTACCTCCCTCCCGTTCTGCTTACCTCCCTGCCAATGCACCCATGGACTTACCTGCCCCATCTGCCCCTCTGTCTGTCCATCCATGCATCATTCTGCCTTCTCTGGTCCTTCATGTGTCCATCTCTCTACCTGCCTGTCCCCGTGGGCTGTATCCATCCATGCCCCCACCCGTCCCACCAGGCCTGCACAGCGGTGCCCCGTCGGCCAGTGTCCGACCCAGCGGGGGCTGAGGACAGGCACGGCTCCACCCGAGGTCCTTCCACCTGCAGAGTCTGGGGGAGTAGCGGGTCTCCCCGGGTCATGTAATAACCCTGGGGTGTTGCTCTCCCTGGCAGGCCCTGTTCACGGCCTGCAGGATGAAGGTGTTTGACTTACTAAGGGACGAAGCCCCCCTCAAGGCTGGGGCCATCGCCGGCAAAATCGACGCCTCCTTGGGCGGGACCCAGCGGCTGCTGGACGCCTGTGTGGCCCTGGGGGTGCTGGAGAAGACAGAGAGGGGTGAGTGGCCCTGGGCGTTCCCGGGCAGGGGTGCAGATGGCAGCCCCCGAGAGCAGGTATGCCCCCCGCCAAGGGAGGCGCGAGCCATCCCTCTGTCCTCGGAAGGCGTCTGTCCTTACACACGAGACGCAGAGGGCGGTAGAAGATGAGACGGAAGGGTGTGGGCCAGTGTAGATCGCAGGTGACAGCTGTGTAGACAGGAACGTGGCCCCAAGTTCCTACCCTGAGAGACCCCATTTACATGTATGACCTTCACCTGACTAGACCAGGCCCGCCCTTCACCTGATTCCACCAGCAAGGCGCTTTTTTAGAGGGTCTGTGTAGAATTCCTGCTCCGAGGTACGGCCTTCACCTGATTAGGCGCGGCCCACCCTGTCTCTTAGGGTTGGGTCAGAATCCCTTCCTTTTCGGAGAAACCCCGTTCATTTCTATGACCTTCACCTGATGAGACCAGGCCCACCCTCACCAGCAAGGTGCTCAGTGGCTGGTGCAGAATCCCTTGCTGCTCTGAGAAGCCCCATTCCCATGGACGGCCTTCACCTGATTACCCCAGGCCGACCACTCCAGCCAGGCGCTCTCCTCGTGGGCGGGTCAGAACCCCTTCTCTGGAAACCCACTCCACAGCTACAACCTCCACCTGATTAGACGCGGCCCACCCCCACCAGAAAGGCTGTCTCTTAGGGGCTGGGTCAGAGTTCCTCCCTTTCCCCAGAAACCCACGGTCACGTCCGTGACCTTCCACTGGTTAGACGCGGCCCACCCTCCCCGGCGAGGTGCTCTCTTCGAGGCTGGGTCAGATCTTCCTTTGCTGAGAAACCCCGCTCGTGTCGGTGACCTTCCACTGGTTAGACGCGGCCCACCTTTGCCAGAGAGCCGCTCTTTTAGGGGGTCTGTGCAGACGTCCTTTTCTGAGGAACCCCGTTCACAGCCACCACCTTCCGCTGATTAGACGCGGCCCACCCTCGCCCGCGTCGTGGGCTCGTAGTGGCCGGTGCAGGATCCCTTCCTCCTCGAGGAACCCCATTCACGTCTGTGTCCTTCGACTGATCGGACCAGGCCCCCCGTCCCCGCGCGGTGCTCTCTCTTTCTCTCGTGCTTGGGGCAGGAGCGGGGTGTCGCAGCGCGCGCGAACCCTACGGCCTTTCGGGGGCCCCGGCACGCTGTGGTCACCGATGCGCGTCCCCGCAGGCTACAGCAACGCGGCCCCCGCCCGCCTCTACCTGGTGTCGGACGCCGAGCGCTCCCTGCACAGCCTCGTCCTGCACCGCGACGCGCACGACTGGGCCCTCTTCACGCAGCTGGAGGCGGCCGTGCGCCAGGGCGCCTGCCAGGACCCGGGGGACGGCCCGTTCCAGGTGGGCGTTGGCGGCCGAGCTCCGGGGACAGCTGCGGCCCGGTCACTCCCTGACCCCCCGGCCCCTCCTGCGATCCACCCCTCTCCTGCGTCCTCCACCCTCACCTGCGCCCCCCACCCTCTCCGGCGCTCCCTTGCCCCCTCCAGCGCCCGCTACTCCTTCCTGCGCTCCGCCCACCCTCACCTGCGCTCCGTCCACCCCCACCTGCGCCCTGTCCAGCCTCTCCTGCGCTCCGTCCACCCTCTCCTGCGCCCCGCCCACGCCCTCCTGCGCTCTGCCCACCCTCTCCTGCGCCCTGTCCACCCTCTCCTGCGCTCTGTCCACCCTCTCCTGCGCCCTGTCCACCCTCTCCTGCGCCCTGTCCACCCTCTCCTGCGCTCTGTCCACCCTCTCCTGCGCCCTGTCCACCCTCTCCTGCGCTCTGTCTACCCTCACCTGCGCCCCCACCCTCTCCTGCGCTCTGTCCACCCTCTCCTGCGCCCCACCCTCTCCTGCGCCCCGCCCACGCCCTCCTGCGCTCTGTCCACCCTCTCCTGCGCCCCCGCCCACGCCCTCCTGCGCTCTGTCCACGCCCTCCTGCGCTCTGTCCACCCTCACCTGCGCCCCCACCCTCTCCTGCGCTCTGTCCACCCTCTCCTGCGCCCCACCCTCTCCTGCGCCCCGCCCACGCCCTCCTGCGCTCTGTCCACCCTCTCCTGCGCTCCGCCCACGCCCTCCTGCGCTCTGTCCACCCTCTCCTGCGCTCCGCCCACCCCCTCCTGCGCCCCGCCCACTCCTGTGCCCTCCACCCTCTCTTGCGCCCCCCACCCTCTCCTGCGCCCCCACCCTCTCCTGCGCCCCCCACCCTCTCCTGCGTTCTGCCCACCCTCTCCTGCGCCCCCCACCCTCTCCTGCGCCCCCCACCCTCTCCTGCGCCCCCCACCCTCTCCTGCACTCTGCCCACCCTCTCCTGCGCCCCCCATCCCGTTCTGCGCTCTGCCCAGCCCCTTCCTGCGCTGCGCCCACCCCTCTTCCGCCCCACCCACCTCATCCGGGCACCCTGCCCCTAGGCCCCGCCCGCCCCTGCGGCCCTGCTGGCGCCCCGTGCTGGGCAGGGCCTGCGTCCCCTGACCCCCGTGTCTTGCAGGACCCCTCCCAACGCAGCCCGGAGACGCAGCTGCGCTTCCTGCAGGCCATGCACAGCCTCGCCCAGCTGACCGCGCCCCAGGTGGCCACGGCCTTCGACCTGTCCCGCTTCACCTCGGCCTGCGACCTGGGAGGTGCGCGCCCCCCACCGGGCGTGGCCCCGGAACCCCGGCCTTTCCTGTCCCGCCTGCCCCCCAGGCGCCCGCCTGGTCCTCCCCGCGGCACCCGGGCCGGTCCTCACCCGGCACAGTGCAGAGAGGCGCAGGCGTCTCCAAGTGGGAGCCCCGGGCGCCTCTGAGCCGCCAGCTCGCGCGTCAGGTCCTGCGCCCTGCGCCCACCCTCCCTCCTCGGGGCGCAAGGTGGCTGCGTGGCACCAGCCATCGCGTCTGCTCCCCACGGCAGAAAGCACAGGGAGCGTGGCCCCCCGTGAGGGGCTGCGCCCAGGCCCGGCCGGTGGGCGCGGGCGCCAGGTGGGGAGACGCGGGCTCAGCGGCGTTTGTCTCCGCAGGCGGCACGGGCGCCCTGGCCCACGCGCTGGCCCGCGCGTACCCGCGGCTGCAGGTGACGGTGCTCGACCTCCCCGAGGTGGTGCAAGAGGCCCCGCGCTTTCAGCCCAGCGGGGGCCCGGCCGGGCGCGTGCGCTTCGTGCCAGGTACGCGCGTCCCGGAGGGCGGCACAGCAGCTGCGCGCCGAGAGCTTCTCCGCACCAAGGCGGGGGCCGGCGCGGGAGGGGGCGGAAGGGCGGGGTGTCCGGAGAGGACCCTGCTTCTGCGTCAGTGCGCGGGGGGGACCCTGCACCCACAGGGGCGCACTGACGCAGCAGCCCTGGACAGCCGCGGAGCCCGCCTGAGGCCTTCTGGGGACGCAGCTCCCCAGCGTGAACCCCAGGGCCCAGCTAGGGCTCGAGTCTGTTTGGGGGGCACGCGTAGGCCCTCAGCAGCCTGCCGGGTCTCCCAGAGACTCGGGCGCCCGTCCCAGGGCCCCGAGGCACCCACTGCGTCTCCCCCCGAACCAGGGGACTTCTTCCAAGACGACCTCCCCGAGGCCGACCTGTATGTCCTCAGCGGGGTCCTGCAGCACTGGCCGGACGAGCGCGCGCACCAGCTGCTGAGCCGCGTCGCGGGCCGCTGCCCCCCAGGTGAGACCCCGCCGCCCCCAGGGGAGAGGAAGGGGCACCCTCACACTCGCGCGCCGAGCCCGGGCTCCGCTGCCCCATCTCTCTCCCCGAGTCCTGCCCGTCCCTTCCACCAGCTCCGTCGGTGCCTTTTCCTCCCGCCTGTCCGGCCCCTGATCTGTCCAGCCCCTGGGGGACCCCGCGGCACCGCGGGGCGCCCACACCCTCCTGTCGCGCAGGCGCGGGCCTCCTGCTGGTGGAGACGGCGCTGGACACCGAGCAGCGCGCGGCGAGGCTGCGGACCCTGGACGTGCTGCTGCAGGCGCGGGGCGGGGCGCGCCCGCGGGCGGAGCTGGAGCGCCTGCTAAGGGCGCACGGCTTCGGGGACGTGCGCGCGGCTTCCGCGGGGGGCCTCCTGGACGTGCTCCTGGGCATCCGAGCCTCCGCGTGACGCCCGCCGGCCCCGCGCGCCGCAGCGCACTCGGGGGACCTGGGGGCGCGCATTAAACAAAGGAGAAGCTCGCAGAGTACCGGCGTCGGGGCCCAGGGCGGAGGGCGCGCGCAGAGCCGAGAGGGCGCGTCTGGAGAGGACCCTGCGCCGGGTCAGCGGCGCCCTCCGGCGAGGGCACAGCTCCCCATAGCCGCAGCTTTCACAGGCAGGCAGGGGCTGCCCGCGGTGGACCTTCCTGGCCCCGGACACCTGCGTCCTCACTCGCCAAATTGCCAGGCCTAGGCCGCCCCTCGGTACCCCTGCGCCCCTGCTCCCCGCCTGCCTGGAGGGCAGCGGCTGCCCACTGCTGGGCCGCGCGGGTGTGACCTGGGCCCCTGGGCGCGGAGGGGGCTGGTGAGGACCCGCTCAGGGGTGTGACCCGGTCCCCAGGTCAGGAGTGGGGTGTCCAGGGCACTGGCTTCCTCTCCGGCGGCGGTGCCCAGGGCAGATGGGGCCTGTTCAGTCCCGGCCCATGTGGCCGCTCCCCCGTCTGTGTAGCTCAGGGAAAGAAAGAGCGCCCCAAGTCAGCTGGGGTCCCCGGGGAAATCGGAGGGGCAGGCAGTGCCCGGGCCCGGGGCCGCTCCCTGTGGGGCTCCGTGGACACTGGAACTCACGCGTGACCCAGGGACCCGCGTGTGTGTCCTGGTGTTTGTGTCCCAGCACAGCGCTGGCCACGCAGGACAAGCTGGGTCCACGCGCCCACCCAAGCACCCCCACTTTGTCCCTCAAGGCCCTGCAGTCGCAAGAGTCCGCAGGGGAGGCGGGCAGAGGAGGGGCCTCGGTGACGGGGCTGTGGGGTGCGCGCAGGCCCTGCCCCGGCTCATGGGGCGCACAGGGAGAGCTGTGCGCTCCGCCGAGCGCCCCCCTCTGAGCGCCCCAAGGCGGGCTGGGAACTGTGACCCTGATCTGTCAGCCGCTGCTCCCCAGAGAAAGGGCTGGGGGACACGGAGAGGGGGTGCGCGCTGTGATCCTGGCGCGGGGCCAGCCCTGGGCCGCGGGGCGGTGGCAGCAGGAACCCCAGCGCCGCTCGTTCTGCACCCCTGGGGGCCGCTCCCGGCATGGCCCCGCGCGCGGGTGGGGGGGTTGCGAGAGGGAAAGTGGGGAGCCGGGGTGTCCCCCCCAGTCCCTACTCGCCTCATGCCCTGGGGCGCCCCGCGGGGAGAGGACGCCGGACAACAGACTCTCGGCCTCTGCCTGCCCGAGGAGTCGCAGCAAACACGGGACGGAACGGGGCGGCGGGTGGGGGGGGCCGGAGCGGGGAGCCCGCCGCCTCCTGGTCCCGGGACACCCGACACCGCGCGCGTCCCCGGGGAGTCACCTTCAGGCCCCGGCGGGAGGGGCTGCCCCCTGGGGCGCGCGCGCCCCCGCGACCTGGAACTGCCCGCCGCTGCCGAGGGCGCCTGATGGTGGAGTTGGGGGGCCCTCTCGGCCTCGGGGCGCCTCCTCCGCGGGGCCCCAGCACGCAGGCCGGCGCACAGCCGCGCCCCCAAACTCCCAGCGCGCCTTGCTCGCTCCCTCTCGCTCGCAGGCACCAGCTGGAACCCCAAGTCTCCAAGACACCCGTTGCTGCCTGCGAGCTTTGGGGTGCAGGCCAGGCGGGGCCCCCGCGGCGAGATCCTGGGGCAGGGCCGGGCGTCCAGGGGGTCCCCGCGGACGCGGCCTCCGCCCCACCCGCCCGCACCCCTGCCCCACCCCCGCGCCCGAGCGCGGCCGCCCGGCCGAGGACACGGTGTCCTGGGCTCGCGGGTGTGGCTGCGCCTCCCCCTGGACGCTTCCTGGGAACAGGGGCGCGGCCCCCCCAAACCGCCCGCCCGTGCGCCCTCGGCCCAGCTGTCCAAGGACGTGGCGTCCCAGGACGTGGCCGCGGGGCAGCAACGGGAGTGAACGCGCTGGCGTCCGTGCGTCATTCATTCATTCATTCCCAGCCCAGTTATTCAATCATTCATTCATTCATTCATTCATTCATTCAATCACCCGCCTGGTCATTAATTCCCCTCCGTTCATCACCCACCCGATCGCTCATTAATTCCCCTCATGCATTCATTCATTCACCCACCAGGTCAATCATTAATTCTCCTCATTCATTCATTCATTCATTCGTTCAATCACCCACCTGATCATTCATTCATTCATTCAATCACCCGCCTGATCATTAATTCCCCTCTGTTCATCACCCACCCGATCGCTCATTAAATCCCTCATTCATTCATTCACCCACCAGGTCAATCATTAATTCTCTTCATTCATTCATTCATTCAATCACCCGCCTGATCATTAATTCCCCTCCGTTCATCACCCACCTGATCACTCATTAATTCCCCTCATTCATTCATTCACCCACCAGGTCAATCATTAATTCTCTTCATTCATTCATTCATTCAATCACCCGCCTGATCATTAATTCCCCTCCGTTTATCACCCACCAGCTCAGTCAATAATTCCCCTCATTCATTCATTCATCCACCAGGTCAGTCATTAATTCTCCTCATTCATTCGATCATTCATTCATTCAATCACCCGCCTGATCATTAATTCCCCTCCGTTCATCACCCACCCGATCACTCATTAATTCCCCTCATGCATTCATTCATTCATTTCCCCCCCATTCATTCATTCATTCATCCACCAGGTCAGTCTTAATTCTCATTCATTCATTCAATCACCCGCCTGATCATTAATTCCCCTCCGTTTATCATCCACCAGCTCAGTCACTAATTCCCCTCATTCGTTCATTCATTCATCCACCAGGTCAGTCATTAATTCTCCTCATTCATTCGATCATTCATTCAATCACCCGCCTGATCATTAATTCCTCTCATTCATTTATTCATCCACCAGGTTACTCACTAATTCTCATTCATTCATTCATTCAATCACCCACCTGATCATTAATTCCCCTCCGTTCATCACCCACCCGATCACTCATGAATTCCCCTCATGCATTCACCCACCCTCCAGCCCAATCATTAATTCCCTTCACTCATTCATTCATTCATGCACCAGGTCACTCATTAATTCTCCTCATTCATTCATTCATTCAATCACCCGCCTGATCATTAATTCCCTTCATTCATTTATACACCCACCTGATCCCTCATTAATTCCCCTCATGCATTCATCCACCAGGTCAATCATTAATTCCCCTCATTCATTCATTCACTGAATCACCCGCCTGATCATTAATTCCCCTGCGTTCATCACCCACCTGGTAACTCATTAATTCACATTCATTCACCCTCCAGCCCAATCATTAATTCCCCTCACGCATTCATTCATTCATTCACACATTGAGGGATTGACACCCTACCTGCACTCACTCGATTATTCAACCATTCATTCATTCACACATCAACTCATCTACTCACGCACGCATTCATTTATCGCCCTCGCTCAGCAACTCATTCATTCATTCATCGATTCATTTATTCATTCACCCACTCATTCAGTTGTTCGACCATTCATTCATTCACTTACTCACTCGTTTATTCCCCACTCAGACCTTCATCCATTCCCATCGATTGAGTCCCCTCATCCAGTTACTCACTCACTCAACTCATCCACTCATTCATTCATTCACACTCAACCCATTCATTCATTCACACTCACCACTCATTCCTTCACACGTGGATTCATTTCTTCCCCTCACTCAGTAACTCACTCACTCATGCATCGATTCATTTATTGCACTCATTCATTCACTTACCAATTCCCCACTCATTCATTCATTCACACATCGATTTACTCCCCTCATCCACTCCGTTACTCAACCACTCATTCATTCATTCACATGTCAACTCACTCCTCCACTCATTCATTCATTCATGCATCGAATCATTTATTCCCCTCATCGACTCACTCAGTTATTCAATCATTCATTCGCTGACCCGCTCACTTATTCCTCACTCAGTCATTCATTAATTCACCCACCCATTTATTCCCCTCAGGCAGTTATTCAACCACTCACTCTTTCATTCACACTCAACTCACTCATCCACTCCTTCACTCACACATGGATTCATTTACTCCCCTCACCACACATTCACTTATTCAGCCATTCATTCATTCATGCATGCGTCAGCTCACCCACTCATCACCTCACTCATTGTCTCAACCCACTGACTCATTCCCCTCAGTCAGCCACCTGTCATTCATTCATTCATTCATTCACACATCCATTCATCCATTCCCCTGACTTAGCCACTCACTCAGTTACTCAACGACTCATTCATTCATTCACCCACCAGCTCATTAATTCTCATCCATTCACTCAACTCAGTCAACCATCCCTTCCAGCATCAACTCTCTCACGCACTCACTGCGTCATTCATTCATTCACTCAGCCACTCACTCATTGATTCAGCTACTCATTCATTTATTCATTCACTCACATACTCCCTTATCAATCCCCTGCTCGGTCACCTCACTGATTTATTCCTTCCCTCAGGTATTCAACCGTTCATTCATTCATTCATGCGTCAACTCACCCACTCATTACTTCACTCATTGTCTCAACCCACTGACTTATTCCCTTCACTCATCCACTCACTCAGCCAACCTGTCATTCATTCATTCATTCATTCACACACATTCATCCATTCCCCTGACTTAGCCACTCACTCAGTTACTCAACGACTCATTCATTCATTCACCCACCAGCTCATTAATTCTCTCAGCCATTCACTCAACTCAGTCAACCATCCCTTCCAGCATCAACTCTCTCACGCACTCACTGCGTCATTCATTCATTCACTCAGCCACTCACTCATTGATTCAGCTACTCATTCATTTATTCATTCACTCACATACTCACTTATTAATCCCCTCCTCTGTCACCTCACTGATTTATTCCTTCCCTCAGGTATTCAACCGTTCATTCATTCATTCATTCATCCACTCACTCGCCAACTCAACCGTTTATTCCCCTCACGCATCCGCCCACTCCTTCAGTTATTCATCCATCCGCCCATTTACTTGCTATTCATCTGCTCACTCACTCATTCATTCATTCTCTCGCTCATCCACTCACTCATTCATTCCAGAAGCATCTCCCGAGACAATAGGTACCCGGCCCAGGCAACCAGGGAATCTTGGAGGCCTAGAAGCGCTGACAGAGGGGCCACTGTCCATTCCAGAGCGGCCCCCTCTGCCTGGGGAATGGGAACGGGTCACTTGAAGGTCACCAGCCCCACAGGGCGAGAGGAATATCCTGCTCCCAGGCCGCTGCCTTCCCGGCCCCACCAGCTGGATCCTGCAGGGGCAGCTTTAGCTGGCGTGTCTGAGCCCAGGGCGGTGGCCACCCCCTGCAGGGCCCCTCCAGGCTCCTTGGGCTGGTCCAGGTATTTGCTCCTCCGAGTCTCAGCCCAACCCCCAGAGGACTCCCTGGCTGCCTGGCCCTCAACGCCGGCTCCCATGGACACTGCTGCTGTCCCTGTGAGGCCTGGGGACGTGCCAGCACCCCCAAGCCGCCCCCCCCCCAAAGCTGTCAAAGGACAGTCCCAGACCCACAGCCCGGGCAGCAGGAGGGCATCAGCCCCGCCCCTGCCCCAGGGGAGGTCAGGACAGCGCCCAGGAAGGAGTCCCCAAGGACACCGGGCACTGCCCTAAGCCTGCGGACTTTACCTGCTGCAGGGAAGACAAAGGAGGGGCCGAGAGGGACTTGAGGCTTGGCTCTGGGCGGCCACTGTGGCCACCGAGGCGGCTCCTTGACCTTGGGGGGCAGCTCACAGGAGCTCGTTTGTGCAAATGCCCCGAGGAGCCGACTTGCTGCAGTTCAATAAAAACGTCACTTTTCAAAACCCCAAGAGCTTCTCCGTGCGCTGAGCCTGGGGGTGCCGCGGCTGCCACGCGCCCCAGCCCCGGAGCAGAAGTGGGGGCGGCCGGCACGCGAGCCCCCAAGAGCTGGGCGAGGGAGGACGCGGGTCTGGGGGCTCCGAGCCGGGTGGAGCCCCCCGCGGGCGCACACGGGAGGGGTCGGGGCTGCCGTAAGGGGTCGCGATGGGCGGGGGTGGGGATCGAGCCACGTGTCCCCAGAACAGGGGGCGCCCCACTGGGCGCTCCTCACACGAGACGAGCCCGGGTGGGGGGGTGCGGCCGGGGGGGTGTGTCTTGGGGTGAACCCGGGGGTCGCGGCTAGGAATCCAGGATTCTGGGGGCGCGGTGCGGAATCGGGGCCCTGCAGCCCAGCGTGGGGGTCGCGGCCGGGGATCGGGGGGAATCTGGGGGCGCAGCGCGGACTCGGGGACCTGCAGTCAAGTTTGGGGGTCGCAGCCGGGGATCGGGGGACCCTGGGGGTCGCAGCCGGGGATCGGGGGGCCCTGGGGTCGCAGCCGGGGATCGGCCAACCCTGGGGGTCGGTGCCGGGGATCGGGGGACCCTGAGGGTCGGTGCCGGGGATCGGGGGACCCTGGGGGTCGCAGCCGGGGATCGGGGGGCCCTGGGGGTCGCAGCCGGGCTGGGGGACGTCCGTGCAGCCGGGGGGCCCGGCCCGGCCTGGGCGACCCCGGGCACGCGGCCGGGGGTCGTGGCATTTGCGGGGCGACCCCGGGGGTCGCCGCCGGCCGTGGGGTCTCCGGGGCCGCTGTGGGCCGGGAAGGCGGCCGACGGCTGAGCCCGCGCGCCCCGGGCCCCCCGTGACCTTCACAAGGTCACGGCGGCCTGCGAGCCCCCGGCCCGCACGGCGCATGGGCGGGGCCAGGCTCCCGGCAGGCCCCGGGGCGCGGCCGGCGGGGCGGGGCCGGGGGCGGGACCCGGCTGCAGGCGGCCAATGGGCGCGGCGGGCGGCGGCGCGGGGCGGGGCCCGGCGGCGGGAGGCCAATGGGCGCGGCGCGGCTCCCGGCGGCCCGCGCGGCGCGGCGGCGGGCGGGGGCGGGGCGCGGGCGAGCGCGCAGCCAATGGGCGCGGCGGGCGGGGGCGGGGGCGGGGCGCGGGCGAGCGCGCAGCCAATGGGCGCGCCGGGCGCGGGCGGGGGCGGGGCGCGCGGCGGGCGGGGGCGGGGCGCGGGCGGCGGCGGCCAATGGGCGCGCCGGGCGGGGGCGGGGGCGGGGCGTCGGCGCCTTAGCGGCTGCGCGCGGGCCCGCCCGTCCTTTCGGAGCCTCCCGGCGCGCAGGGCTCGGCCAGCGGCGCCTCCGTCCGGCTCTCGCTCCGCGCCGCGCTGCCAGCATGACGGACCAGGCCGTCTCCTTCGCCAAGGACTTCCTGGCGGGCGGCATCGCCGCCGCCATCTCCAAGACGGCCGTGGCCCCCATCGAGCGGGTCAAGCTGCTGCTGCAGGTGGGGGGGGCGCGGGCGCGCGCGGGGGCGGGGGCGCGCGCGGGGGGTCTCGTGGCCGCGCGCGGCGCCGCCGGAAGTACGAGGCCGCGCCGCTTTGTCCGCGCGCTGCCGGCTTCCGGGGGCGGGGCCGGCCGTCGCGCGTCACGTGCGCGGGGGTGGGCGGGGGAGGGGCGCGCATGCGCGCGGGGCGCCCGCGTGGACGGACCCCCGCGCCGGGTGCGCGGTCACCTTGGGCGCCCGGGGCGACGTCGCCGCGCCGTTCCGGGACGCTGCACCCTCTGAACGTGCGCCAGGACGGGCTGGAAACGGCCAGAAACGCCCGGGAAACGGGCACAAACGCTCGGGAAACGGGCATAAACCTTCGGAAAACGGGCACAAACGCCCGGGACCCAGATAGAGCGCGCCCCTGTAACATAGCCGCAGCGCGTGGCAGGCCGCTCCGCGCACAGAGACCTGCAGACTCCCCTTGGGGAGCCTTTGTGTAGAATGGGGGCGCACGGGCGCGGCGCAGATGACAGGTGTCCATGAGACTCCCCCAGGGCCCACCCAGCCCGGGTCAGCGTGATGCCCCAGGGTAGCTTGCGCCCCAGGGTAGCATAAAAGAGGCACATCAAGATCCAAAGCACACTGGCGCGGGCCAGGGTAGCCCCCCATGCGGTCCCCGAGTCCCCGTCGCGTGGCACTGTGGAGCGTGGCACCATGGGTTCGCCCCCATTTCTGAGCTGGCGGCTCTGCCAGGCTCCGTCCCAGCTCCCGGTGCAGGCCGGCCGCTATGCCTGCTGTCCAGAGCTGGGGGGCGGCCCCCCAGGGGGTGCCCGGGGTGGGCACGTGTGGCCCGGCCTGACGCCCGCGCCCCCGCAGGTGCAACACGCCAGCAAGCAGATCGCGGCCGACAAGCAGTACAAGGGCATCGTGGACTGCATCGTGCGCATCCCCAAGGAGCAGGGCGTGCTGTCCTTCTGGCGGGGCAACCTGGCCAACGTCATCCGCTACTTCCCCACCCAAGCGCTCAACTTCGCCTTCAAGGATAAGTACAAGCAGGTCTTCCTGGGCGGCGTGGACAAGCACACCCAGTTCTGGAGGTACTTCGCGGGCAACCTGGCCTCGGGCGGCGCGGCCGGCGCCACCTCCCTCTGCTTCGTGTACCCCCTGGATTTCGCCCGCACCCGGCTGGCGGCCGACGTGGGCAAGTCGGGCACCGAGCGGGAGTTCAAGGGCCTGGGCGACTGCCTGGTGAAGATCAGCAAGTCGGACGGCATCCGCGGGCTGTACCAGGGCTTCAGCGTGTCCGTGCAGGGCATCATCATCTACCGGGCCGCCTACTTCGGCGTCTACGACACGGCCAAGGGTGCGTGGGCGGCCGTGGCGGGGCGGGGCGGGTGGGGGCGCGCGGAACGGGCCCTGCTCGTGGTGGCACAAACGAGGGCTTGGGGTCCATTGTGCACTTGGGGTGATGGTTGGGTGCCCAAAGCAGGCCACCCCACGGGTCAGGGCCCAGGGTTCATGGGGTCCCCCCGGCCCGAGCAGTGTCCACACCCTAAGGCCCGTCCACGCCTGCTGTCCTCGGCTCCAGGTGGCCCCTGCATTTGGCCCGTGCAGGTCGCTGCAGACAGGAGATGTGGGGGGGGGGGGTTGGGTTGGCCGGGTTTGGGGTGCTGGGCCTCACGTGACGCCCGCCTGCAGGCATGCTCCCGGACCCCAAGAACACGCACATCGTGGTCAGCTGGATGATCGCCCAGTCCGTGACGGCCGTGGCCGGCGTGGTGTCCTACCCCTTCGACACCGTGCGGCGACGGATGATGATGCAGTCGGGCCGAAAGGGAGGTGAGTGGGGGCTCCGCTCCGGGGTGGGGGGCACTGCTGCCCAGCGGGGCCCGTAGCCGGGCGGGTGACCCTGTCCCGCCTCTGCCAGCCCCCGGCGTGGCACCTGTCGCCTCTAAGGCCGGGTCCCGCCTCCCTGCGTCTGGGCACAGGGTGGAGCCCGCGTCCCCCGGGCGGCCCCTCGGCCCTGTCCGGAGGAGGCTGCTAGGGGCGCTCTCCCCGCAGCTGACATCATGTACACCGGCACCCTGGACTGCTGGCGCAAGATCCTCAAGGACGAGGGCGGCAAGGCCTTCTTCAAGGGCGCCTGGTCCAACGTGCTGCGCGGCATGGGCGGCGCCTTCGTGCTGGTCCTGTACGACGAGCTCAAGAAGGTGCTGTAGCCGGCCGGGCCCCGGCCAGCGTCCAGTCGCCTCGCCCCGGCCCGCCCGCGGCTCCGGGGAAGGCTCATCGCGATCACGACCATCGGCACCTGATTCCACGTCTCCGCTCGGGGGGAGGGAGGCCCCGGCTCGGCCGCGGCGGGGCAGCCGGCGTCCAGGCGCGGGGCCGCGCGTGTTTAGGTATTTATTTAACAGAACGATCATGTCTCCATTTGTACTTAAGCACTAGCCTCTTTTGCACAACCGAGATTTGCAATCATGTTCGCCGCCGGGCGTCCCGCCACCGAAAATAAAAACCGGACACGGCGGGCGTGGCTGTCTCTTGCCCCGAGGCGCCCGTGGAGGCGCAGCCCTGGCCCCAGCGTCCCTCTGGGGCGGGCCTGTCCCGCGGCTGGGCCCCAGGGGGGTGTCCCGACGGCTTGGAGCCCCACCAGGGCCTGCTCCCCCTCCGGGGGTGGGGGGGGTATGGCCAGTGCCGGCCTGGCCTCTCCAGGAGGGACACTCACCCCGCCATTGGGCCAGCACCCCGCCCCCCAGAGCAGGCCTCACAGGCAGGACTCCTCCCCTCCACTCCCCACCCCCCAGGGAGCTGCATGCAGGTCAGCTTCACAATTTGGGGGGGCTGTTGGGGGTGTTCAGTGAGCCAGGTTCCTGCCTGAGGACCTCGGCTCTGCAGAGCCGAGTCCTCAGGCTGGGCTTTGGGGGTCCCACCCCTGGCAGACAGTGCTGTGGCTGTCAGGGCCCCGCACGGGGCAGCCTGCCCCCCGCCCCCATCCCTCCTGCCTCCCTGGGGCCTGTGCCTTGCTTGGGCCACTGTCCTGGCCACGGCCCCAGGGCACGTGAGCTCCGCAGCGGGAATCCAGCACCAGCAGGGCTGACACCTGGGCAGGGAGGCCGGGCAGCCCTGGGGAGCAGTGCCATCCCTGGGGGAGCAAGATTTGGGGTGCAGCCCATTCAGGGGGCTGGGGAGGGGGTCCCGGGGTGCTGGGCTGGCAGCTGCATTCCTCTCCGCAGCCCTGGGTGGGTGGAAAGTTCTTTATTTGGGAAGGAGCACGGCGCCTGGTCCTCAGCAGCAGCTCACACTGGCCCTGGGGTCTCTGCCCCACCTTTGGGGCACCACTGGGGGTGCAGGTATCCCCAGAACCCAGCAACCAGGGTCTCCGAACATCCAGCTTCACGTCTCCCCTACGACCTGCACTTGGGCCACGGGGCAGTCCTCAGTGTCCTTGGAGACCACCTGCGAGGGGCCGGGTCTCTGGTGAGGGGCGGAGCCCAGCAGGACCCCAGAGGCCTCGCCAGCGGGGGCCGCCCCCCAACTCACCATCTTTTCCTCCAGGAGGTCCCTGAGGGGGTCCTTCACCCCGGGGATGGGAGGGAACAGTTTCTGGGCCAGCGAGTACCTGGGAGGAGAAAAGTGAGCTGAGGGCGCGCGGCGGCCCCTTGGAGGCGCGGGGACCGGGTCTCTGCCCCCCGCCCACGGGGAGGAGGCGCGTGCGCCCCTGAGCGCGCCCAGACCTGGTCCGGAGGCGGCCCCGGGCCCCTCTCCAGCCGGTCACCTTGGGCGCAAAGCGCGCGGTCTCCCCAAGTGCGCGCAGCCCGGAGGGCGCAGGGAGGGGCGCAGCCGGGACGCACGGGGCTGGGGAGCAGGGTCGCCGCAGCCGGCCCGCGGGGCGCTCACCTCCAGCACAGCAGCAGCACGACCCCCACGGGCAGCAGCGTCCCCAGCGCCAAGGCCACCAGGATGCCGGAGCGCGCGCCCTCGGACTCGCCGGTGCGCGCGCCCTCGGGCCTGCACCCTGCGGGGGAGAGAGCGCAGCACAGTCGGGGGGCGCCTGCGCCCCGGGGAGGCTGGGCCCTGGCGCGAGGGCACGTGCGCGCGCCCCCAGCTTGTTCAATTCTTTCTCACTAAGGCGCTAAGGGAAGCTTATGGCTGCCGAGGCCGGGCAGCGCCCGGGCAGCGCGCAGGGGCCGGGGAAACTGAGTCCTGCACGGGGAGAGCGCCCCAGCACCCCAGTCCCTGAGGCGAGCACCTGCTGCAGGTGCGCCTGGCCGGGGGGGCGGCCTCGGGGCTCCCTGGGGCGCTTCTCAGAAGTCTCCCTCTGGGGCCCACGGGGAGTGGGCTGGGACGCGCCCTGCAGGCCGACAGGGGTCACCCAGGGCCTCCCGAGACCAGGAGGACATGGACTCGGCCACCGTGACCCAGAAGCGGCTCAGGGGTGCAGCTTGGAGGGGGACAGGCCAGCCTGGCTCCGGGTCCGGAGAACGCAGGGGCCTTGGGTGTGAGCCTGGCCCCCTCTGAAGCCCCAGCAGCCACGGGCACAGGGAGGTGGAGACGGGCAGCTCCTGGCTTTGAAGCCCGGGTGAGGGGCCAGTGGCTCCGACGGCCACTCAGGGGTGCAATCGGGCTCACAGCAAATTACCCGCTGGCCACCCCCTGAAAGGGCCGTTCCCAGGTCATCGAGGCCGTGAACGGGGACCAGGCCAGACCCAAATCGCAGCTGGCACCCAGGTGACCTCCTTCCCGGAGGGCGGGGGACCCCACAGCCCAACTCCGCCCCCCTGGACACGCAGACCCACTGTGTGCGGACAGCAAGGCCCTGGGGCTCAGCGGCCGGCTCCCTCCCCCCGCCCTCCGGGGCAGGGTCCGCTCTTTGGGGTCACGCAGGGGAGGGCCAGCCCCCTCCTGTGCCGGCGGAGCACCGGGGGGCCGCACCCAGCGGGGTGTCCCCACTCACTGAAGCGGTGGGGAGCACTCCACTCGCTGGAGATGTTTCTGGGGAGGAAACTCTGGGCTTTAATCCTCAGCACGAAGTCCCCGGGGTTGGGGAGCACCACCCAGTTGTCCGTGAGCTGCACAAGGAGAGAATAAATCACAGCCATTCCCAAGTTCGGGGAGAGGGAGGGGACCTGCGGGGGACAGGGAGGGCTCCCCAATTCACAGGCGGGAGGCCTGACCCAGCTCCTGGGGCGCGGCCGGTGAGGGCAGGTGGGCACTCACCGTCACTTGCTCAGGCGGATGCGCCTCCTGCAAGACAAAAGCCAGAGGCGGCAGGTGGGGGGTCTGCTCCCCTCCCTTAAGAAAGCCCCCCGGCTCCCCAGTTCTCTGCGGCGGGGCCCGCGGAGTAGGTGGCTCTGCAGGGGCACCCTGGGCCCGTGAGCAGCCAAAGCAGGAGCTTCGGGACACGCAGCTGGCCCTGGGGGTGTCCAGCACAGGGGCCGGGGCCCCTTGGGGTCCTCCTGGCCGCAAGGGGATGAGCCTCCTGGGGGGAGCCTGTGGGGGCGCAGGCAGTGAGCACAGATTATATATCTTAATACTCTGATTAGCTCAAAAGTTCTTGGTCTTGATTTATTCTGATTCGCTCAAAAATTCCTTTCAACAATATATTTGGTTTTGGAGCAATTTTAGGGATAAAGGAAAAGTGGCTCCGCGACCAAGACAAGGCGCACGTAAGGAAGTAAACCTCCCCGAGGGTGCCGACCAGCAGGTGTCGGGACCTGCGTCCCGTCTGTCCCCGGCTGTGTCCTCTGGACCCCGCACCCCACGTGCAGGGACGGCCGCGGGCCCCCGAGCCCTACCTTCTGCAGCTGCAGCTCGTAGACAAGCAAGTTCTGCAGGCGGCTGGGCGGCTCCCACCGCAGGACGGCGTGGGAGTGGTTGCACGTGCCGGTCAGGTTGGGGGCGCTCAGTCTCTCTGAAACCCCAAGGAACCCACCCGGTGAGTCCAGCCGATGTGGGGTCACCCCGGAGACACCCCCAGGAGACGCTGCCCTCCCCGCCGCCCCGCGTCCCTCTGGAAGTGTCCAGGGGCGGCGGCCGCTGTCCTGGCCGCGCGTCTGCAGGACGGGCCGTTCCTGCCCCTTCACATTCAGGGGGGCACTTATTCTGCTTTGGGGGGGCACAGGCGGGAAGGGCCAGGCCTCTCCGTCCTCCCCAAGGAGCATGCTCAGCCCCGGGCAGCTCACCGGTCCCCACCCTGGAAGGTGCCACAGCTGATGGTGCTGGGGAACCCCTAAAGCTGGAATCTGGTCTCCCCAGATTCAGAGATCCCTGCTCTGGCCTCCCAGTCGCCCCAGGGCCTCCTGATCCTGCACAACCCTGTGGGTGCAGAGCCCAGCCCCACCCGAGTGCTCTGGCCCCCCAGTTTCCGGCTCCTCTGACTACAGGGTGATCTGGGAACAGCTGCTCAGGTGTGCACCCCAGGATCCCAGCCCGCAGCCCCTGCCTGCACCCCCAGGAGGCTGAGCTCACGTGGGGATCCCCAGAGCCCGCCCCTCTGTTCCTCTCCTGTCCTCACCTCCTCCAGCCTCCTCTGGTTTTCTAAGAAGGCATCAGACCCTCCCTACGTCCACCGGGGGGGACACGGCCGGGGCATCAGAGGCCAGAAGCCACCCTCAGCGAACCCCACCCTGCGCCCCAACTCCCCGGCTCCAGGACGGGGAGAAATCGTGTCCCCAGCGGCACCCGCGGGCGCGGGAGGACTCTCAGAGGAGCCCAGAGCTCAGGGCTCCCCACACCAGGAACCCCCGGACCTCACCAATCTCTCTCAGCGACGCGATGACCTCAGAGCAGGGCACCGCGGAGCCCTGGGCGCGGCCCTTGACCAGGAGGCGCTGGAGCTGGGCGGAGGCCCGGGACACGTCCCCGAAGCTGCAGCCCACGCGCGCGCCCCGCGCGTCCACTTGGTACCGCGCGCACTCGCGCTCCGCGCCGCTCCTGGGGGCGGACGGGGTGTCCACGGAGCGCTGGCTTCGGCCGCAGCCCCCCGGGCGCCCCCCGCAGCCCCCAGCCCAGCACCTACCCCAGGTCCTCCCAGTAGAGCCGGTACCGCACGTCGGGGGGCGCCGCCGGGCCTGCGCCCCAGCGGCACGTCAGGACGGTCCCGTCGTGCACCCAGCACTCCAGCCCCGCGGCCTCCGCCCCGGGCGTCCCCTCTGGGTGCGCAGAGGAGCAGACACAGGGACCCGGTCAGCGCGCCCTCGGCCGCCCCACACCCCGGCGAGGGCGCACGCGGCCTGAGGAGTCACCCCGAGGGGCCCTGCCGGTGCCTGTGCCCCCAGGACGACGCGGTGCAAATCCGGAGCAGCCCGTGCGCCCCAGGCTCACTCGCTCCACTGGGGATGGGGCGTGTCCACCGCGCAGGCCCCCCGGGACCCTCTGAGGCTGCAGACCCTCCCTGCGCACATCCTGCCGGCCTCTGTCTCCCTTCCTGGGGCTCTGACCTCTCAAGGCAAGGCTTCCTCTGGGAGGGTCTTCGCTGGAGAGGAGCGCCAAGCAGGCTGGGTGCCCGAGGGCGCAGGGGGAGGCCCAGGGGTTGGACAGGGATATTGCTGGGTGCGGGAGTGGAGGGCACCCGGATGGAGCGCGCTGGAGACCAGCCCCCCTATCCCCAAGTTATGGCCACCTCTAAAGGGTGGACCCACCCATTTAAAATCATCTCCGGGGTCTATGTGGGCTCAAAGTCCTTATTTCGATATCCCCAAGGCGACGACGCGGGGCAGGAGGGGGCCCTCACCTTGTGGAGGATATAGGATGGATGTGGAGAACCTCTGCGGACTCTTCACGGTGACCGTGAAGTTCTTGGCCTTGCATTTCTCAACCAGGTAGGGCTTGACCAGACAGTACTGGTTGTTTGTCGCCTGAGGAGACAGAGTCGTGATTGGTGCCGAGAGAATTTAGTCTGATCTTGGCAACGTTTGCTCCTCTTGACAGATTTGGATCTGTCTCTCCCAGCCTGAGCTGCAGGGACAGCAGCTGCTCCCAGCCCCCGGCCAGCAGTTCTTTAGCGATGTTGGTAACAGGGAGACGGGAAATTGCTGAGGGGTCAGGATGGGGTGAAGAGCCAGAGCATTTTTTTGGGGGGGTGGGAGGCAGCGGGATTGTTCCGTTCGGTGCGTGCAATTATACGCGTGTTGGAACTCACAGAATGTCCGCACCGTTCTGAACCCTAACACGGGCTTTGGGCTCTGGGTGACAGTGTGGTATCGATATGTGGGTTCCTCGATGGTAATCAGTGTCCCTGCAGGGGGGGGTGCTGATAATGGGGAGACTGTGCATGTGTGGGGGGTTTGGGAAATCTCTGTATCTTGCCCTGTTTTGGCTGCTAAACTTATTCTAAAAAATAAAATGGATTTTGGGCCTCCCCGGTGGCGCAGCGGTTGAGCGCTGGGCTGCGAAGCTGCCCGCAGCCTCTGCAGTGCCGGTTCGATCCCCGGCTGCTCCCCGGCCACCAGAGGACGGTCCCACATGGCGCGCAGACCTCTCCTGCTGCCCGCTGCTCCCCTCAGCAGTGTACCTCGGTCCTTCTGCCTGCTCTGCTCCCCGCTCTGGCTCTGGTGGATTCTCTCACCCTCCTGTGCTTCTGACAGACCCAGTGCTCGTATAAATAAATAAATCAATCTTTAAAAAAATAATATATAAATAATAATATAAATATATAAATAATATATAAATAATATATAAATAATGTATAAATAATATAATATAATAAACTATAGAAACTAGAGTAAAAGGTTGTAAGTACAGGAAATTTTTGTAAACCCTAATTCCACACATGGGTCAAGAGAGGGAGAGGGTCCATCTCGAAGGCCAGAATGAGAAACCCAATTGCCACGGGAAACCCCGGGAAATAAGAGGATGACGATGGAGACTCAGAGGAAGCCAAAATGCGAGGAAACGCAAGGAAAGGTGTGGACCCAAGTCATGATGTCGTCAAGCTCAATAGCTCAGTTAATATAAGGGCTGAATAACGAAATTAATAGATCAATTGATAAACAGGGGGGCTATCTAGGGTTCCCCAAATATTCTCTCCTGTCTCCAGAAAGAGTCAACCAACCACGTTACTTATTTTTTATTCATTTGTGGGGAGCTTTTCCTTTCTTTCTTTTTTAAAAAAAATTTATTTATTGATGCTTACAAGAGCTGGGGTTCAGGCCAGAGGTGGGGGGGCGGGTGAGAGGACTCCCCAGAGACAGAGTGGGGAGAAGAAAAGGCTGATTTACTGAAACCCACTGCTGAGGGGAGCAGCTGGGAGACAGGAGAGGTCTGCTGTGCCATGTGGGTATCTCCCTGGCCAGGGGATCAAACTCGGGGTGCAGAGACAGCTTCACAGGTTGCATCTTAACCCCTTGCACCCCCAGGGAGGCCCTGGGGAACTTTTTCTTGACCGAGTAAGTGGTGGTAGGAATCAGCCCTCTTGTGGTGTATCGATTGGCCTGTGGGTATCGAACCGTCCTTGCACCCCCACCACAAATCCCGCTCCATCCTGCGATTCCTGAAAAAACCTCCCGTGTAGACTGACACGAGGCCGTGATCCGGATGCTGGTCACCCAAGAATAACTCGGGGCACCCACGGTGGAGGGTCTCAAGGGCTGGTCATGAGTAGGTTGGGTTCTCGCCACAGCCTGCCCTCGAGCTGTGCTGAGTTCCAAGGGCTCCACCCGGGCCGGGGCTCTGTGGGGACTCGACGGGAGACACGGAGCCGCCGGCGGCTCACCTGCATGTCAGGGCTGGCGTCGACAGAACACGTGATTCCAGAGACGCCTCCGCTGAGGTCCCAGGTCAGTCTCCCCTCACGTGGCTCCACCCTCAAGTTCTTGATGGGCGGCGAGCGGGGATCTGGCGCGTGGAGGGGAGAGTTAGGGGGGCCGGGCGACGCCCGTATGTCCTGATGGCAGTGGGGGAGAGGCCTGGCCACCCGGCCGGACGATGCCCTGAGAACAGTCTCATGTGCGACTGCCGGGCTGATCTCTGTGGCTCACCCTTCCAGCCCCACCCCCCAGAATCTCAGAAATCAGCTCATTTTCCCTGTTTGTGCAAAATTTAGCGTTTGGAACGAGAGACCGTCCTGCGGCGACCGGGAAGTGGAAGCTGGACCGGGAGACCCCGCGGCTGCCGCGGGGAGGTGAAGCGGCGAAGGACGGGGCCCGTTTGCCATGAGAGGGACGGAGATTCGGATCCGCAGAGGCCGAGATCCGGACCCCGAGAGCAAGGAGCCTCGTGAAGAAGCTCGCGCCCAAGGAAAACGGGACAAACGTCTCCAGAGACGGAAATTCCGAGCGTGGACAGACGTGGAAAAGCTGCGGAGCCCGCCGAGCACTCGAGACGCACGACCCCGAGTGAGGAGCTCCCCGAGAGCAAGCCCGGGTCCCGATGGGCTCCCCGGTGAAGACCCGGGGTGGCCGCCGTGTCCCCACGGGGCAGCACCGTCGGGGGCCCCAGCCGTGGCCACGTCCCCCCGTCTCTGCTGGGTCTCCCCGTGCGTCTCCGCCCACGCGTCCAAGGACACTCCCCTCCTGTCCGGCAGCCACCCGCATGGCCTCGCCTCCCCCGGGCGGCAGAATGTGGGTCCCCTGCACAGACTCTGCAGGTGAGGACCTCGGTGACCCACGAGCGCACGCAGCTCCCGCCCCCGCGGCTGCCGCCTCCTGGCCTGTCCCCACCGGGGACAGACGAGGTGGACACACGATGTCCCGGCGGGGGGATGACCCTCGGCGGCGTCCCGTCCACCCCCGGCCGGCGCGGGTGGCGCAGCTTTGCCGGACGAGCCCGCGGGACGCCCGGGCTCTCCTGCGGGCTGTCGGTCGGCACTGGGAACCCAGGGCCCCCCAGGTGCCTACCCGGGCCTGTGGGCAGCAGACAGCACGCGGGCGTCAGGAGGGCGGCCAGCCAGAGGGCGGCCATGGCCGGGCGGCTCCCTGCTCCCGCGGAGACGGAGCTGCAAGAGAAGCCCGGACGGCAGGTGAGGGGGGAGCTGAGCTCTCGGGCGGCCGTGAGGGGCCGGGCGCCCCCAGGAGGGAGGGTCCCTGCGCCTGCAGCCCGTGTGTGCACACGCGTCCGGGCTGCCATGCGTGTCCCATGTGTGCACTCGCGCCTGCAAGTGTCGTGCTCCTGCGTGTCTGCACGAGTGTGCGCATGTTTCTGGGTGCACGTGCATCTGCATCACATGGGTTTCCGCGAGCCTGCATGTGTGTGCACACAGCTGTGTGGGGTGTGTATATGTGGCTGCAGTGCACATGCGTGCATTAAAAGTGTTCGTTCATGTTGGCGTGTCTGTGATGTGCGGATCCACGGCTTCTCACGTGAGCCAGCCCTGTGTATGTGTGATGACACGTGTCCTAACCCGGCGCGTGCACACATGTCTGCAAACATGTGCACACACGTGCATTGGTATCAGTGCCTGCTAAGAGCTGTGTCTTTGTGTGGGCACGTGTGTGCATGACATGTGTGCACACTGAGCTGCAGGCCCGCGTGCACACGGGTGACTGTGTCTGAGCCTGCGTGTTAGCATGTGTCTGCCACGCTCATAGGCTCATGCATGTGTGTTCACGCTGCATGTCAGCTCACACACATGTGAGCTCACAGGTACTGCAGGCGACTGGACACACACATGGATGTGTGTGCACACCCATGTGCACACGTGTGCATGTGTCAGCGTGTGCCTGTGTACGTTGCAAGCATGCAAGCGCTCTGCACACACATGCACATTCACGCGCAGACCTGTGTCCATGTGCACGTGTGTGCGCGCGTGTGCAGGCCAGACTGGCTGTCCGAGCTCCCGGGCGTGTGCGCGGCCTGGCTCTGGCCCCGGCCGCGGTCAGCGGGAGGAAATGCCCTGAGCAGGCCCTGGAAGGAAGTTGAATTAAAGGGGGGAAACCTACACCCCCCCGGGCCCCGCTTGGGGTCCCTGCGGCCAGCTCTGTCTGCGTCCACCCCTTGGGGAGCTCTGGGGGCCCCCCAGGGCCCACCGTCTCCACCCACGGCTGCGGGCGCCCGCATGGACCCTCCCCGTCGTCAGCTGCAAACTCGGGGTGCTGACTGTGCTTGTGCCTCGGGGGCCAGCGGGCGGCCGCCCCAGCAAAGTCTCGACCCCTCCTAGCCTTGGGGCCAGCCCCTGCGCAGGGGTCACTGAGCCCCACGGATCACGCCCCCTCCAGGGGTCCCCTGAAGAAGCTGGGCTGGGAGTGGGCGAGGGGCCCAGCCTCTCTGGTCCCTCGGGGCCGTGCTGCCCTACACAGTGGGGTCTCCGCTGCTCCCCGGCCCTGCCCTGCAGCCCCAGGGGCTTTGGAGTCTGGCCAGTGGACCCCCAAAGGGTCAGGGGCTCGGAGGCCTGAACCGTGGGCTGAACGGGGTCCCCCCCCCGTCCAGAGTGGACGTCCCCAGGCCCTGAGCTTTTCACAGGACCTCACCCCCCATCCCCAATTGCTCACCCCAAATTCTGAGTGGGGGGTGCCGTGGAGAAGCCCCTGAGGCTGGGGATGGGGTCAGCAGAGGGGCTCAGGACCCCCGCCTGCCTGGGGTGAGGGGGCCTGTCCTGGGATCCCGGGGGCAGGAGCTGCCTGACCAGCCCAGCCTGCCCCTGGCTCCTCCCCGCACGAGACCCCCCCACACCGGGGGCTCCAAACCCACAGGCTGAGGCTCTCGGGGTGCACGGGGGGTGCCACGCAGCAGTGAGACCCTGGGCTGCTGCAGCGGAAGGGTGTCCATCGGGAGGCACCTCTGGGGACGTCCAGTGGGGACGGAGGGGCAGCGCCAGGTGGGGCGGCGTGGACGTGGGTGGCCTCGGGCGCCTCGCAGGGGACCCCGCCGCCGGCAGGACCCTGGGGCCAGCAGCCCCCAGCGGGCCCCGGAGTGGACACCCCCGCCGCCCTCCGGCCGGGCCCCGCACGGGCAGCAGCTGGGCGCCCTGGGTCTCTGCCGCCGGAGCCGGAGGGCTTGGGGAGGCCCCAGCGGCTCCCCCTCCTGGCCGGTCTTACCTGGACGCCCCGTCCAGGCGGGGGGCCCCTGCGGCTGCCGTCCTGCTGGCCCGAGTCCGGGGCCCCTGCGGCTCCGCGGGGCGCGTGATGCCGGCGGGGCTGGGAAGGGAAAGCGGCTGTTTCCTCCGGCAGCTGCTCCGCGGCGGCTCCACCCGGCACCCAGCCGGGGGTCAGGCTGGGGGGGCCGCTGGGGGACCCGGGGTCTCCCCAGCCCTCGCTCGCCTCCGCCTCTGTCTCTCTGTCTCTGTCTCTGTCTGTCTCTCTGTCTGTCTCTGCCCGGCCCCGGCCCCCCCTCCCGCTTTCCAAACCCCGTTTCCTCTGCTCACACCAGCTCCTTCCTCTTTGCTCCCCCGGGCTGCCCAGTCCTTGAGCAACATCCTGAGCCGGGACGTGACCCCCGAGAGTGACCCGAGCTCCCCCAGCGCCCCTCGGAAAGTCCCACAGGCCCCGGGGCCGACCCCGGCCCCGATGGGCGCTGCCCGGCTTGTCCCACGCTCCGGGCGCCCGGCAGCGGCCCTGTGCCCCCAGCGCTGAGCGGTCACTTCTGGGGTGCCCGGCCTCAGGCCTGGGGTCTCCGCTGCTCCCCAGCCCCGGCCTGGCTCCGGCGTCCTCTGCCCTCCCCGGGGGCAGCCCCTTCTCCGGGACTGACCTCGGGGTTCAACTGCATCCCCCCGACCCCCCAGTGGGCGTCCAGCTGGGGGCCCAGCACGTGACTTTATTGGGGAGCAGCTGGGCACGTGGCAACTGACCCAGACGGGCCAGGACGCCTGGGGGGGACCGTATAAGGCGACCGCCCTTGCCAGATGGGGCCACAGCCCCGGGGCCTCAGAGGGCAGCTGGGGGACGTGGCCGCCGGCCCGACGGGCTCCCGGGGAGGCTGAGTCCATGGCCTGGACCCCAGGACTGACTGAGCCCCCGGCCCCACCAGGCGGGGCCCCCCGGGGCCCCCCAAGTCTCTGGGGTGGTCTCCAAAGGAGATTCCCGTCTCCTCTGTTTTCTCCCAGGGCCCCAAACCAGCTCCCAGACTCCCCTGGAGGCAGAAGAAGACTAATCACCAGGGGACCCCAGAAACTGGGTCCTCACGGCCATGGGGAGCAGCAGGAATGGGGCGCCCAGGCGGCTTGGAACCCCCATCCCGGCATGCCTGAAGTGGGGGTGCAGGAGCCCAGAGGACTTCCCTGTCCCGCACAAAACCCCCACACCTGGGGCTCAGCAGAGAAGAGACAGACACGGGCTGGACGGTGGGACCCCAGAAAGGGCAGCACCAGCTCCCCCCAGACACCCTGACTCTCGTCTGCAGCCGCCCTGCGGAGGGGGGCCTGGCGGGGGGACAGGAGTCAGGACGGGGGCCCCTGGACGCCACGGGTGGACTTGGAAGTGGATGCGGAGCCTCCTCGGCAGGGGAGCAGGAGACGTGGGGCGCGTGAGACACCCCGCAGGCTGCTGTTCCGGGGCCTGGGGTGTGGAGACAGAGGGGGGACCCAGAGGGGGGACCCAGAGACACGGTGGGGGAGCTCGGCCTCAGTCTGAGGGTCAAGAGGACGCCCCGGGGCCTGTTCTGAGCATCTTCGGGGCCTGTTCTGAGCATCTTGGGGGGGTCTGTTCTCCGTATGTTGGGGGATCTGTTTGGAGAATTTTGGGGGTCTTTTCTGAGCATCTTGGGGGCCTGTTCTGCATATCTTGGGTGGTCTGATCTGAGCATCTTGGGGGGCCTGATCTGAGCATCTTGGGGGCCTGTTCTGAGCATCTTGGGGGTCTGTTCTGAGCATCTTGAGGGGCCTGTTCTGAGCATCTTGGGGGGCTGTTCTGAGCATCTTTGGGGGCCTGTTCTGCATATCTTGGGTGGTCTGATCTGAGCATCTTGGGGGGCCTGTGTTGAGCATCTTGGGGGCCTGTTCTGAGCATCTTGAGGGGTCTGTTCTGAGCATCTTGAGGGGCCTGTTCTGAGCATCTTGGGGGGCTGTTCTGAGCATCTTTGGGGGCCTGTTCTGCATATCTTGGGTGGTCTGATCTGAGCATCTTGGGGGACCTGATCTGAGCATCTTGGGGAGCCTGTTCTGAGCATCTTGGGGCCTGTTCTGAGCATCTTGAGGGGCCTGTTCTGCATATCTTGGGTGGTCTGATCTGAGCATCTTGGGGGGCCTGTGTTGAGCATCTTGGGGGCCTGTTCTGAGCATCTTGGGGGTCTGTTCTGAGCATCTTGAGGGGCCTGTTCTGAGCATCTTGGGGGGCTGTTCTGAGCATCTTGGGGGGCCTGTTCTGAGCATCTTGAGGGGTCTGTTCTGAGCATCTTGGGGGGTCTGATCTGAGCATCTTGGGGGTTTGTTCTGAGCATCTTGGGGTCCTATTCTGAGCATCTTGGGGGGTCAGATCTTAGCATCCTGGGGGCCTGATTGGAGCATCTTGGGGGGCCTGTATTGAGCATCTTGGGGGCCTGTTCTGAGCATCTTGGGGGGCCTGTTCTGAGCATCTTGGGAGCCTGTTCTGAGCATCTTGGGGGCTTGTTCTGAGCATCTTGGGGGACCCATTCTGAGCATCTCAGGGGACTGTTCTGGGCATCTTGGGGGCCTGTTCTGGGCATCTTGGGGTGTCTGTTCTGAGCATCTTGGGGGCCTGTTCTGAGCATTTTGGGGGCCTGTTCTCAGGAGGCGTCTCTGGGCAGGGTAAGGGCAGAAGCCCAGCTGTGGGGAGGCCAGGGGAGAACTTGGGGAGCCCAGAGCTTCTCCCATCTCCAGGCCCCGCACTCCGCTGCACCCCAGCCCCGCGTGTCCTGAGCGTCCTGGGGACACACTCCAGCTCCCACCTGAGGGCCCCGCGTTCCTCAGCCCGGTGACCAGAGCAGGCCCCGCACAGAGCGAGAGTCCGCGTGGCCCTCCCCGCGGGTCACAGGGTGATGGGGCGCCGCCCACACTCCGTCCCGCAGCTGCCCGGCGGGAGAGGAAAAGAAACTGCAGCGAACCCCAAGCAGGGCACGGGCTGCGGCCTGGGGGGGTCGCCCCGGAGCACAGGTGGCCGGAGGGAAACAGCCTCCTTTGGGGGCCACGGCCCTGGGACTTCACCCCCGCCCGTGTACCCCATGTCCCCAAGCTTCCTCTTTCCCCAGTGGTTTCCGCCAGCTGGGCCCTGCCACGCCCGGGATGTGGCTCCTGGCCCCCCTCGGGAGGGCTGCACCCCGGACACACTCTGGGGTGGACCCCAGGCCCGGGAGAGGCGGCCCCGGGGGTGTCCTGAGGCCTGTCGCCTCCCCTGGGGGCCCCGGGACGGTGTCCTCGGAGCTCAGGCCGCCTGCTGGCCAGCGCTGACCCCGGCGTCCACACCCGCGCTGTCGACACCCGCCCGCATCGGAGCCCCGGGTGGGGGTCAACCTTGGAACGGGGTGCAGGAGGGGCTTGGGGAGCAGCGGACAGAGGACTCAGCACCAGATTGAGGAGAAAAGAGCCGGTTTAATTGCACGGGGCTCAGGAGTGTGGGGACCTGCTTCTGGGTGAGGGGGGTGGGGCTTCCTGGGGAGAGGGGGGCTCGTGGGGTGGGGGGCTCGCAGGAGGGGGCTCGCCCCCAAGACCAGGTGCTCTGGGGTGAGATGCTTCCCTGCTATAGGGAGAGGTTCCCCACAGAAGGGCTGTTTCTGGTGCAAACCCCGATTCTGGGGGAGCCCCAATTTCCTTCTATGAGACCCTCGAATGATCTCACTCAAAATAATGCATGTGCCCAGGTGACATGTCTTGGGGGCCTGTTCTGAGCATCTTGGGGGGTCTGTACTGAGCATCTTGGGGGGCCCTCTGAGCATCTCAGGGGATCTGTTCTGAGCATCTTGGGGGGTCTGTACTGAGCATCGTGGGGGCCCTTCTGAGCATCTCGGGGGGTCCATTCTGAGCACCTTGGGGAGCCTGTTCTGAGCATCTTGGGGGGTCTGTTCTGAGCATCTTGGGGGATCTGTACTGAGCATCTCGGGGGGTCCTTTCTGAGCACCTTGGGGAGCCTGTACTGAGCATCTTGGGGGACCCTTCTGAGCATTTCGGAGGGTCTGTACTGAGCATCTCGGGGAGTCTGTACTGAGCATCTTGGGAGGCCCTTATGAGCACCTTGGGGAGCCTGTTCTAAGCATCTTGGGGGGTCCATTCTGAGCATCTCGGGGGGTCCGTTCTGAGCACCTTGGGGAGCCTGTTCTAAGTATCTTGGGGGTCTGCTCTGAGCATCTTGGGGGTCTGCGCTGAGCATCTTGGGGGGCCCTTCTGAGCATCTCGGGAGGTCCATTCTGAGCATCTGGGGGTCTGTTCTGAGCATCTGGGGAGCCTGCTGTGAGCATCTTGGGGTGTCTGTGTGAGCAGTCTGGGGGGGTTGCTGCAGCGGCCTGGACTTGCGGGCCTCCGCTGCAGAATCACCACATTTCCTGCACCACAAGCACCTCCTCTGGGTCCAGCCAGCCCACTGGTGGGGATCCCCCATCCCAGAGCTTCTAAAAGAGAAAAGATGGGGTGATTTGAGAGCACCCCCCATGCCCCATGGAGTCCTACCATCAAGAAAACACCCGCAGGTGTGCGGCACATCTGGGGTACCCTGGGGTACAGGTGAGCACAAGAAAGCAGAAATCCCGCCGCGGGCAGAGGGTGCACGCGCCCCGAGGCTGAAGCTCAGTGGCCTCAGCAGACCCGGGACAGACGCCAGGTGCACCCCTCGGGCAAGAGGCAGAAACGAAGATAAAATGGACAGTCTCAGGCTCGGGGCCAGCTCGGCAGTGGCCACAGGGGGCAGCAGTGGGGTAAGTGGGTGACGGGCCGACTCCTGGCGGAGGGTGGAAGCTTTGGGGGCGTCTGTAAATGCCACGTTGCATCCTGCACCCCTGAAATCCATGGTGTGTCCTAAAAACCTTCAAAAATTGAAATCTGCAGCAAAGAACAGTTCAGTTCACAGCAGCCAGGCCGGGGACACAGCCACGTGTCCACCAGCAGAGGGACACGCGGTCTGGCCACGCGAGGGACTATTACACAGCCCCGAACAAGGAGGGCCCGCCGCTTGCTCCTCCCGGACGGCCCAGGGACAGAGGCAGACACAGAGGGACGGACCGGGCGGGCGGGGAGGAAGTGTCCAGAGCAGGCCAGTCCGCAGATGGCAAGGGGCCTGCGGTGCTCGGGCTGGGGTGGCCGCTCACGGGGCGGGTCTGCTTTTCCGGGCAGGAGAATGTTCCGGCAGCAGAGACCGTGTTTGCAGCGTTCAGTGATCTCCCCGGGGCCGGCGGGGAGGCTGCCGGGGACAGGGAACCCCTCTTCCAGCCCCGGCCGGTGTCGGTCCCCGCAGCGCCTGGCCGAGGCCGGACTCCCCGCCGGCAGGGCCGGGGACACTCACCTGGGGGCCGGACGCCAGGCTGCAGGCGACCTCGCTGCTCACCTGCGGGATGGGCGGGAACAGCCTTTGCTGCAGGGAGAACCTGGCGGAGACAGAGGGAGGGAAGGTGGGGAGCTCGCGGCCGGGGTGGGGAGCAGCTCCCCTGGGGAGACGCCAGTGCCTGCAGCTGGCTGGGAGGGGACAGACTCTGCCTCCTGTGGGGAAAACGGGGTGTCCACCCGGCTGCCCGGCAGGCCCCCGGCCCCCCATCCGGGTGCTGGAGGGCTCCCCTGAGACTCTGTTTTCTGCTCAGAGCCTTGGGGGGCTGCTGTGTCCTCAGGACCCTTCATGTGAGTTCAGGAGGTGCTCAGGCACCCCAGGGCTCTCCGGAACTCACCAAGCACCCAGAACCCCTCAAGTCTCCCTGAGGACTTCCACCTTCTCCAAACGATCCCCATCTCTCCAAGGGCCCCCAACCTCACCAAGGACCCCTCAGCTTCTCCAAGGGCCCCCCAGCTTCTCCAAGGACCCTTCAGTCTCTCCAAGAGCCCCCAGCCTCTCCAAGGGCCCCTCAGCTTCTCCAAGAGCCCCCAACATCTCCAAGAGCCACCAACCTCTCCAAGGACTCCCTCAGCCTCTCCAAGGGCCCCCCAGTTTCTCCAAGAGCCTCCAGCCTCTCCAGGGGGCCTTCACCTTCTCCAAAGGACCCCAGTTTCTCCAAGAGCCCCCAGCTTCTCCAAGGGCCCCTCTGCTTCTCCAGGGGCCCCTCAATCTCTCCAAGGGCCCCCAACCTCTCCAAGGGCCCCCAGTCTCTCTGAGGACAACCTGGGAGTTTCTGAGAACCTCTAGGCTACTCTCTGAGCACCCCAGCACTCCTTAAGGAGCCTGAGATTATCCAAGCACCCCAGGCTCCCCACACACCCACACATAGTTCCACAGCCCCAACCAGCCCCCCTCTCACTCCTGGACCCCAGTTGGCCCAACAAGCTGCAGAACAGCTGCCCCTGGGCGACCCTTGGGTGTGCACAGCGAGGCAGGCGCCCCCCGCCCCACCGCAGGCACCGCCTCGCCCCGCCCTGCCCTCACAACAGCCCTGCGCGTGGGGTCTCTTGTGCACCCCTCGCCGCGCGCCCTGGCCCCCCGAGCCGGCCCCGCTTCTCACCTTCTACAGACCAGCGTCAGCACCGTGCCCAGCAGAGCCGTGGCCCCCACCGCCGTGCCCGCCCGGTGCACCCAGGAGCCGCTGGGGTCCGACTCGGGGAGACCTGGTGGGCAGAGCATGGGCTCAGGAGTGACCGGCCTGCTGACCAGGCTCCCACTTGGAAGCTGCATCCCCACCCCTCGGCCCCGGCCCGTCTGCTCTACACCCCGCGGCCCAGAGGGGACCCACAAGGCCATTTCCGTGGTGCTGTTTCCAAGGCGACATCAGCACAGCCAAAGGAACGAATGCGTGACTGTGAAATGTGAAAGGGGGTGCAGTTGGGTTCGCTGCATCATATACTGCAGAGGGGGCTCCCTTTGGGGTCGCAGGCTTGACCCGTCCGTCCGGGCTGGTTCTGGGAGCCGCGAACCCGTGGATTCAGCTGCTCCTCTCGGGGAGGGGCGGCCTGGGTGCTTCAGGCGTCCAGCCAGGGCTCACTTAGACTCACGTCCTGGCCGTCCCCAAGTGGACTGTGAGGAGGGGCCCCCGGAGAGGCACTGGGCAAACCCCGATCTTGTGAGGTGTCTGCCCGTCCTGCCGAGCAGGTGAGTGGGGAGCAGCAGGGAGTCCGTCACCCCAGATTCGGGGCAGCCTCTGGGTTCCCTACTGGACTCTTCTGGGTGATGAGGTTGTCCATTTGCAGGGCAGTCCCTTGGGGGAGCCCCTCGCCACCCCCATAAAGGAGGAGGGAATGGCGGGGTCTCTGGGGAGTCAGGGAGCCCCAGTGTGGAGCGGAGTCATCTGTCCCTGCTGACCCTGGGAGTGACCTTGCTGCGATGGGGGTGCTCAGCAGCCTGGATCCTAGATACACCCCAGGACGGTGGAGGCCAGAGTGACCGGAGACTCCAGGGGACTCCTCATGGGGTGACCCTCAGATATTGGGGGAGGGGGCAGGGGAAGCATAGAGAACTGTGCAATGTCCCCCCTGCTGCAAGGGCCCCTCAATGTTCCATGACCCCCCCAAAGATATGTCCCTGTCCTGAACCCCAAACTCGGCTCGGGCAGGCCTGGCGCAACAAGGACCCCAGACGGGTCTGCACCCCAGGACCCGTAGAAGGGACAGAGGAGCTCACGCAGCGAGATGCAAACCAGGGGGGCTGCGTGTTGGGGTGCGCAGGTGTCGGGGGCTCACCGAGGTGCAGCGGCGAGCTCCACTCGCTCCAGGCCCCGGCGTAGGCGTGCTTGAGGCGCGCGCGGAGGAAGCTCCCCGCGGGGACGGCGGCGGCGGGCAGCGGCAGCACGTTCTCGTCTTGTCCCCTCCGGTACATCTGCGGGGGGAGCTGTGGGCAGGGGCCTGACGTGCGTGGGGCTCGGGGCCGCCCGTCCTCACCCGCCGCTGCGCCCCAGGGGCTCTGCACGCGCCCCGCGGCCACCACCCTCCCGCGCCCCCCGCGCCGGACACGGTGTCCATCTCGGAGCTCTGCAGAGCCTGCGGCCCTGGCTCCCAGCTCAGGAGGGGGCGCTGACCGCACTGGGGGGCCTGCAGCGTGCAGAGGGGCGGGGGTCCCCGAAGGAGAGGGTCAGCGGGCCTAGGGACATGCACAGGGGCCGTGTCCTCTCCTGTCCTGTCCACTCGCGAAAGGGCACCTCGTCTCGGCCCAGCGGGCACCACTCAGCTCCCTGCCCGGGAGTGCGGTCCCTTCTCTTGCCGCCTGCACCCCTTTCTGGTGGCCCGGGCGGGTCCCCCACGTGGACATGGGGCTGGAGGGGCCTGGAGAGCTCCAGAGGGTGGGCGCTGGGGGACTCCACGGCCCTGGCCCGGCTCATCCTTCCGCGGGGCTTCGATGGTGTCCTGGGGGGCCGCAAGTGACCTCCAGTGGGGCTTCCGCCCATGGGACTCCCCACCCGGGAGCAGGCCCGGGAGCCAGGCCGAGCCCCCCAGCAGCCACGGAGGCGTGACCGTCACCGAGGCTCCAGGGCGAGGGAGCAGCGACTTACGGGGTCTCGCGCGGCCAGGCTGCCCTGCAGGAGAGAGCGGGGAAGTGGTCACTGGCCTGTTTGAGCCGTGGTGCAAATGCGGGGCCCGTGGGGCCCCCAGAACTGGCAAGGTGGGGATTTCAGCAGATGGTATTTGGGGCCCACAGAAGCGGAAAGCAGGGAGCTGCTGGGAAGGGGGAACTGTCCACTTGGGGTGCCCCAGGGAGGGCTGAGAGCTCCCTGGGGCTGCATCAAGGAAACAGCTCAGATTCCTCGACCCCGTGGGTCCCCTGGAACCTGCTTGTCTTTGTCAGAGAAACCCGGGTCCTTCTTCCAAGGGAACCCCACTTCCTTGAGAAGCTTGGCAGGCATCGGGCACCCCGTTCTACTCCGAGCTCCCCAGGGCAGGAGCCGACCTTTTCCTCCTGCTGCTCTGTCTTGTGTCCACCGATTCCGCCCGCCCAGGACGGAGCTGAGCTCCAGGGTTAGCTCCCCCGAGCGACCCCCCTGTGTGACTCCCGGGGACTTGCCTGTGTGGGGTCACCTGCGTGTAATGACCTGTGGGGACACGCCTGGGCAGGGTGACCTGTGCCGGGTCCCCTACGCACAGCTGCCCATGTAAGGTCACCCAGGTGAGGCCACACAGGTGAGGCCACCCAGGTGAGGCCACAGGTGAGGCCACCCAGGTGAGGCCACCCAGGTGAGGCCACAGGTGAGGCCACCCAGGTGAGGCCACCCAGGTGAGGCCACCTGTGCAGAAGTTCCCGTGTGCAGAGACCTCATGAGGTCACCTGCCCCTGCACGCAGTCTGAGTGTGCGCCTGTGGGGGTCACCTGTGTCCCGTGGCCCGTGTGAGGCGCCCGTGGCCCGTGTGAGGCGGCCGTGGCCCGTGTGAGGCGCCCATGGCCCGTGTGAGGCGCCCGTGAGGTCCCCAAAGAAATCACAGAAAAATAAAAGGGCAAAATGAGCTGAAAAGGGGGAGCCTGGGGGGTCTCACCTCGCGCTGCAGGTGGAGCTCGTAGCACAGGATGTGGCTGCTCAGCCGGAAGCGCGTCCTGGGGTTGTCCCAGCGGACCAGGTGGTGGGAGCCGTTGAAGCGCGCGGAGAGGTTGGCCGGGGGGTTGTACTTCTCTGCGGGAGGGAAAACGGTGCCACGACGACGCGCCAGGCGAGAAACCCCGCCCGGGAGCGGCCGCCGGGCCGAGCAGACGGCGCCTCCCGGGTCTGTTTTCTTGGCTGCGGGAGGAGGAGTCCCTGCTTTGGGGGTGAGTGTGCATTTGGGGAGCCCCCACCCGGCCACGCAGCCTCCCCCGGCGCCATTCTGTGGCGTTTCTGCGCTGCAGGCGGAGACGCCAGCAGGGGGGAGAGTCCTCGGTCTACCCCTGGCCGCCCCTGGAGCCCCCACCTGAACCCCCACAACAGCGGAGGCGAGGAACCCCCAGCACCTGCATGGGTGCCCCACGTGCTCCGTCACCCCCAAGTCGCTGGCGTGTCCGGCTGCATAAAAATCCCAACCCAGCAGGTGCCGCCCGGGCCACGGGACGCGGCGCGCGCAGGGGACACGGCTCCGGGAATCGCCCTCACGGGGCCCAGGAACACGGGGCGGGTTCGGTGCCCAGTGGGGGGCCGAGGCTCGGGACTGGAGGACCCCTGCGGACGAACGGGGTGCCCGGCGGGGTCCCCACGTGCCCAAGGTCACAGCTGCACTGCCTGGAGACCCGGCACAGATCCCCCGGGGTAGACCCTTCCTCGCCCAGATTCCACCCTTGCAAATCTGCCTGCGCCCCGAAACTTCCCTGGGGCCCCAAACCGCCCTCAGGCTGCTCTCGGGGTGATTTGTGCACACGCGGGCGCCAGGAAAGCGTGAGGACGGGCTTGCACAGTCAGGATGCGGCCTCGCCCGCCCTGCCCGGGCTGGGGGCTCGGCCGGGCCCCTCCCCTGGGCTCCGGGGCGGCGTCTGCGCGGCCGGCGGCTCGTCGGCGGGTCCTCGTTGGGGACCGAGCCGGGTCTTCTGGGCCGCGAGTCTGGTTTCTACAACCTGTCCAAGCCCGGAACCGCGTGTCTCTCTCCTGCTGACCAGCCGAGGGCCCGGCCGGCTCTGCCGCAGCCACAGGCGGCTCCCTCGGGGGACGCGGCGGGAAGAGCCGACTTACCCATCTGCGTGGCCACGAACGGGGGGAAGTCCACGAACCGCACGTCTGTCTCGTTGCTGGTCCCGTTCAGCAGGAAGAAGTAGTTGTCCGCGGATGTGGGCGCGGCCAGCTCCCCAAAATGGCAGCCCACGGGGGTGCCCGCGGGGCTAAGGAGGTACTGGGGGCACTCGGCCTCCGCCTCGTCCCTGCAGCAGGCGAGACCCCGCCGGGGAGTCCGGACGGTGTCCTGGGGGCGAGGGCCCCCCGGGGAAACCCGGCCCGCCCGGGAGACCCGCCTCGACGGCAGGAGACAGACTCGGGGGTCACGGGAACGTGGGCAGCGTGTGCAGAGCCCGGGGATCAGCTCAGCGACTGCAAAGTTGGGGAGCCTCTCAGCCGCGCGCACAGCACGGGGGGGACCGCGGCGGTGCTCTCGCTCGGAAGACGAAGTAGCTCATTGCGACATGAGTTGGGGTCCCCGAGGACACCCCGGCAACGGACCTAAACTCCCCGAGGCTGGCGCTCAGCACACGGCAGAGTCCGCCGCTCGTCACCGCGGCTGGGCCCGGGAAGGCGCGGGAGCCGCTGACTGGAGCTGAGGCCCGGGCCGGCCGGAGCCGGGAGATCAGAGACACAGAGGAGGGGGCTCCCCAGAGGCCGGGGGTGCACCCAAGAGGCTCGGTCGCCCCGTTAATCTGCAGGAAAGCTTCGCACCCGTCTCCCTGGAAGCAGGCCGTGGCCTCAGCCAGGTTCGCACGCCTCTGCCCGACTTGGGTTTTAGGCAATAAAACATCGGTGCTGTGTGCTCAGCCCTGCTCCCCCAAAGCAGCCCTGCTCCCCCAAATCAGGGCAACCCCTTTCTTTGCTAGCCAGGGAGGCAGAGGTGACCCTTCCTCCGGCCTCCCCAGCACTCGACTCCCTGAAAATTCTCTTCCTCCTGCCGTCGTGGTTGGCGTCCGAGCGCACCGGGCCTGGACCCCACGGCTGGGCGGGGAGTCAGCACCCCAGGGCTGTGATCTGGGGCCGGGAGAGCATTTCCCCCTTTGATCTGTGGCGTCCCGAGGCGGGAGCCTGGGGAAGTTCTCTCAGTTTTGAGGCCCTGGAAGGTCCCCGGCCGGAGGAGGACCCCGGAGCTGGAGGCGGAGGAGGGGCGCAGCCGCGCGGTGCCCGGGACACCCACCGGGACGCCCACACGAACAGGCGGTAGCGCACGTCGGCGGGCGCGGCCGGCCCCGGGGCCCAGCTGCAGTTCATGGCGCTGGTGTCGTAGATGAGGCAGGAGAAGTTCTCGGCGCCGGAGCCCGCCCTGCCTGGAGACGCCGGGGGTCACCGGCCGCGCCCGCGGGCTCCGGCGAGGGGCACGTGCGGGCCGGCGGGATGCGGGGCTGCGGGGGCGCACCTGGGTTGTGAAACGGCAGGACCTCCTGGAACTGCTGCCCGTCGGCGGACACGGTCACGGTCAGGGTGGCGCCGGCGTGCAGCACGGAGTTGGGGAACGCGCAGGAGAAGGTGTTGTTGCCGGAGTCCTGGGGAGACGGCCAGGAGCGAGTCCAAGGGAGGCTCTGGACGGACCCCAGGATGCTCAGAACTGGCCCCCAAGATGCTCAATACGGCCCCCGAGATGCTCAGTACAGACCCCCAAGATGTTCAGAACAGACCCCAAGATGTTCAGAACAGACCCCCAAGATGCTTAGAACAGACCCCCAACATGTCCAGAACAGGCCCCCCAAGGTGCTCAGAATGGACCCCTCAAGATGCTCAGAGCAGGCCCCCCAAGACGCTCAGAACAGACCCCAAATATGCTCAGAATAGATCCCCAAGATGCTCAGAACAGGCCCCCCAAGTCCTGTCTCTTTGGCATATCGAGCCCTGGACACTCAGTCGAGCCCCTGGACACTCAGGGGAGTCTCAGGACTTCGTGAGACACCCCAAAGTCACCTAGAAGAATGAAATTTGGGGGACCCTCACCTAGGATTTGAATTCTGACCAGAAGTGAGCTTTCCATGGAGAAGCCGCCCAGAGCACCTGGTCTCAGTTGGGAGGCCCCTCCTTTTGGGGGGACCCCTCTCTGTGCCCATGAGGCCCCGGGCCCTCCCCGTCCCAGCCCCGGACACAGGCCCCCCTTGAGCCCTTGACTGGAACCCGCACGCAGGTCAGCTGTCCACACGGAAGCAGCTGGACTCGGCGGCTGGGTGGTTTGCCCGACGCCCGGAGCCCGGAGGGGAAGCGGCAACTTCCTGCCCCGTAAGAACAGGCCAGAGGGCGGCAGCCCTTGGGCATCCGAGAAAGGCCACGTTTGTGGGGTGGCCGGCAGCCAGCAGGCGCCCCGATCACCCCCGCGGGGCCCCGCTTCCAGGCAGCTCCCGCCCCCGGGGTCACATCCTGTGCAGGGGGCACAGCGGAGCCCCCTTTGTCTACTCAAGGCCCAAACAATGCGCCCCAAGATGTGACTCTGGAACAAAGAAGACTCTGAGCTGGAGACGAAGATGAACGGATGCGAAAAGACAATTTGGAGCTGCCCGGAATGACTCTGACAGGCCCTGGGGTCCCCCTTGGGGGGCGCTTTACGGGGCACCGGCCTGGTGACTTCCTTCCCGGCGGGCGCGCCCACGGGCGGCCGTTCTGGGAAACCCAGGACTTTTAATTGCCCGTTGGGGTTTGTTCAACACGGGCTGGGATGCTCGGCCCCAAATGCATCCAGGAGGGCGCCCCTGGCTCGCTCTAAAGCACCCCCACGCTCCATGCCGCGGAGAAGGCTGCCCCCCACGTGAGAGCTGTGACTCTGTCCCCACGGGGTCTGGGGGGTCCCCAGGACGGAGCCCAAGCGTATACAAGAGACGTGGGTTTCTTCCCCGACAGGTAGGGAGCTGGCTGCGGCCCTCGGCCCCGAGAGTAACGCGATCCCTGCGCCCAACAAGGACCGGAAAGCGAGTGTGAGGCTCCCGGGGGGCCGGGGTGCCACCTGGCTGGCTCACCTGGGGGTCCGCGCAGGTGGGCGGGTCCTGGGGGGTGTCGATTTTGCATTTCTGCTGAGTCACATTCCAGCGGCTGGTCCAGGTCAGGGTTTTCTTCCGTGCGTCCAGCTTCATGTCTGAGATGAGGGACACGTTCCCTGGGGCTGGAAGGACAGAGCAATGCAGCAGTGGTGAGCGAGGGGCCCCCGCCTGCTGATTTCTTTGATTTTCACAGAACCAGCAGCCTCCAGCATGCATCGAAACGCGTTCTTGAGACTCTACGGGTCCAAGATGTCGGCTCTTGGCCTCCCACTTGGAGGCTTTGAGTTTTGAACTAAATCCACATCCTCTGAGTCTATGAGGCAGGTGTGGAATACTACGCAGCTATGAAAAAGGCGAACTATTGGCATCTGCGGCAACGTGGGTGGAATTGGAAAGGCCTGGGCGCCGTGAAGTAAGCCAGAAGGTGCTGGCTGACTGGCCTCTGCTGTTGTGGGGGGTTCCTTGCTTCTGGGGTTGAGGTGGGGGCTCCAGGGATGGCCAAGACGCTTTGTTTCTTTTCTTTCATGTTCTTCCATCTTTGTTCGTGTTTGCACAACCTTTGATTTCTCCCCTCAGGTGTGGTCCCCAGGAATCTCCCACCAAATCACCCGTGACCCATCACCATGGTCCCTGGTGCTCTTCCCTCCCCTGCTATGACCCCTCTCCCTGCTCAGATCGGTGGTCACCCTACAGGTTTTGTCTTTTCCTGACCCTCTGTTGGGCTTCCCTACATTCCTCCTGTAAGTGAGACGATCCAGTATTTTCCTTTCTCCTCCTGACTGATTCCACTGAGCAGCATCCCTTCCAGCTCCATCCACGTGGCCCCAAATGGCAAGAGCGCACCTTTTTCATGGCTGCGTAGTATTCCAAAGTGTATACAGACCGCATCTTCTTGATCCCGTCCTCTATTTTGGGGCATTTGGGTTGTTTCTAAGTCGTACCTATTGTAACTAGGGCTGCAGTAAACATAGGGGTGCAGGTTTCCCTTTGAATGAGTGTTTTTGTGTCCTTTGGGTAGATTACGAGGAGCGGAATTGCTGGGTCACATGGCGGATCCATTTTGAGGGTTTTGAGTTTTGACCGTTTACTTGATCTTAAGGTGAACCATTCAGGGACATTAACAGCTTTGTGGAGAGAGGCAGGAGCCTCACCGGCCGGCAGGGAACAAGCGGATCAAAACCACGAGGGGCGCCCACGTCCCCCACGAGCTCGGCTCTGATAACGAAGCAGAAGCCGCAGCATAATCGCTGGAGCAGCCGTGCAGAGACGGGTGACTCTGTTGCTGGTGGGGACAAAAGAGGGTCCTTCTGGGCTGCTGAATGGGACAGCTCCCCCTTCCAAGGCATTCAGAATGGGGGGTGTCCTCTGGGGGTCCTCTCTGAGCTGGCGGGGGGTGCAGACAAGCTCTGTGAGACCCCCTCTAGGGGCGTCCCCAAGAGGGCGTGGAGGATAAGAGGAGACCTGCAGACACCCTCTCCCTGCAGATTTCACGTCTGTCCTTTTCTACCTGCACAACCTCTTTGGCAATTGTCACGATCCAGGGGGTGATATGTGGGGCCTGGAGTTTCCGTGAGAGGAGACGCCAGGCAGTGGGGCCATCTCCCAGCCTCTGGTTGCATCTGCGGGAAGGGGGTGCCCCATCACCCCTGGGATTCCTCCTGCCTGTGCCACCTCTCCAGAGCATTCCCCATTTTATGTCTCCTCCCCCTCTGAGGAGGTTTCCCTGCTTTCCAAGAGACTCTGTTACTAGCAACGCCTTGTCCCCAATACAGGCAGAAGAGCAGACACCCCAGCTGCTTTGGGGCCCCGTGCTCAGCTCTCTCCTCACCCCAAAGCTGGCTTGGTCTGAAGTACCCAAGTTCCCCTGGCTGGGGTGTGGTGCGTTCCTGTTTGAGGGCTGGAGCTGCGGCCCCTGAAGCCCCCTGTGTTGGGTGTCCCCACACCTACCCGGCTGTGGGTGTCCTCCGCGGCACCCCGGTCTCAGAAGCAGCAGGAAGCAGGCCACGTCCAGCAGGGTCACCATGGCCGAGCCCAGCGGCTCCTGCACGTGGAAAGGCAGACTTGGGGTCAGAGGCAGAACCAGCCTCTGACCTGCACCACGACCCCACTGCACTTGGGGCTCCCGGAAAGCATCACCCAACTCTCCTCCAGGATCAAGAAGATCGGGGTGTTGGACACTTGCACCTCTGCTGACTCACTGCAGCCAACATCACCCTCTGGGGTCCCTGGTCTCCAACTCAAGCAATGATGGGGTCAAGTATTTTTGGGGGCGAGTCTGTTCCAACACGGAGCCAGTTGCAAAGTGGCTTAGCCAAATCACCCTCTCTGGGGGCCTGGGAACCCCTGGGGTCTTTCCAGAGACCCCTGCTGATCCTCTCCCTGCCTCTGATGACCGGGAAGCTCCTGGTCTCGTGCCCTGGATGCTCTGGTGTCGTGCCCAGCTCTGAGGGGTCTGAGAGCACATGGGCATTGCCCTGGAGTCTCCGTGGGGGCTGTGTAGACCCCGTAGTCTCCATGCAACGATGACGATTCACCCCCATTCTGTTTCCTGCACTTTCCTGGCGCCCACACACGTTTGAAGCCAATGCCAAGGCCGACGATGAGCCATAAATATCTGAACGTGCGTCGCTAGGCTGCAAGGATTCTTCCAGAGGGTACCCCGAGCCCTTATCACGCGGAACATATCACACCCTAATCACAAGAGCTTCTGCTTTTTACTCGTAATTCTGTCCCCAGCCTCCTCTCTGCCTCGTAGCCACCGAGCGCGCTTGAGCGATATCAGATGGTCCAGGAGGCGCCTGGGTGTCCTCTAGTGAAGAGCGAGGGGGTGCAGTTCTGGATGAGTGTTGACTTTAGGCCAGAAGCTGATCCCTGGTGGTGCAAGGGGTTAAGATGCAACCTATGAGGCTCTCCACAGCCGCTGCAGCACGAGTTTAATCCCCGGCCAGGGAGCTACTCACAGGGCGCAGCAGACCTCTCTGTCTCCCTGCTGCCCTCTCATCAGTGGATTTCAGTCAGTCTGCCTATTCTGCTCCCCACTCTGTCTCTGGGGAGTCCTCTCACCCCCCGCACCTCTGGCCTGGGCCCCAGTTCTTATGTGTGTAAATAAATAGATCTTAAAAAAAAGGAAGGGTGGACAAGATAGACAGATGATAGAGAGATGGACAGATGGATGGGTGGATGGATAGATAGATGGATATATACACACATACATACACGGGGGGGTGGATGGAGGATGGATAGATGATGGATGGAGGATGGATGATGGATGGGTGATGGTGGATGATGGATGATGGATGGATGATGGATGGATGATGGATGGATAATGGATGGATGGATGATGGTTGATGGGTGGATGATGGATGGATGATGGATGATGGATGGATGGAGGATAGAGGATGGATGGAGGATGATGGATGGATGATGGAGGATGGAGGATGGGTGGATGATAGATGATAATGGATGGATGGATGATGGTTGATGGGTGGATGATGGATGGATGATGGATGATGGATGAAGGATGATGGATGGATGATGGATGGAGCATGATGGATGGATGATGGATGAGTGATGGATGGATGATAGATGATAGATGGATGATGGATGGATGATGGATGGATGATGGATGATGGATGAAGGATGATGGATGGGTGATGAATGGCGGATGGATGATGGATGGGTGATGGATGGATGATGGATGATGGATGGATGATGGATGGAGCATGATGGATGGATGATGGATGAGTGATGGATGGATGATAGATGATAGATGGATGATGGATGGATGATGGATGGAGCATGATGGATGGATGATGGATGGATGATGGATGGAGCATGATGGATGGATGATGGATGGATGATGAATGGATGATGGATGGATGATGGATGATGGATGATAGATGGATGATGGATGGATGATGGATGGATGATGGATGATGGATGGATGATGGATGGATGATGGATGGGTGATAGATGATGGATGATTGATGGATGATGGAGGATGATGGATGATGGATGGATGACAGACATATGATGGATGATGGATGGACAGATCGATGTCTAGGTGATTATTAGATGGATAATCAATATATCCAAAATGGAAAATAGATGAAATACAAAAAATTGCTTCTGAACAATTTTAACAGACAAACACTAACAAATAAAAATAAATAAAATCCATGAATCACGCCAGAATAAATTAGCAAAATATACCATGTAATGCCATGAAAGAAATAAAAAAAAAAATCTCAATAAATCGGGAGACACGGCGGGTCCCCACCTCGGAGAACTCAACGTGGCACAGACGTCTGCCCTTCCCGGTGGGCTCCATGCAATTCCCGTCCCAACTCCAGGGAGATATTTTGGACGCAAAGGGAGAGGAGTTGACAGATTTTGCAAAAACCAAGACCAAAGTTGGAGCAACGCGTCTACGTGAGTCCAAGACCTTTACGCACGAAGCTCTTTCCAGCTGAGACGGGCAGCCGCCCGGGTCGGGAGGCATTTAATAAAGACGCTGACCTTAAAAATAAAAATATTCTGGACTCAAGATGGTGTGGACTCGCCAGAACGACGGACACCAACCAGATCGAGCCCACCAGGCCCACGGAGATGAGCCCAGTGGGTTCCGAGCCGGGAGCAAGGCCATTCTCTGCAGGAAACTCGCCACCATCTGAGGCTCAAAGGTGAGCTCCGAGGGGTCACAGACGCCGTGTGAGTCATAAAACCACCAAAGTTTCCCCCAAAATAATGGGGATCGAGGCGTGGACAGGGGGCTCTTAGCCTGGACAAGGAAAACCCAGTCTGTGGGAGGAAAACTCGACGGCGTTGAGTCATCAAGAAGCAAATGTAGACATGGATGAGTGAACGAATGAATGAACTCAAGGCCACCCTGGGTGCCCTGACCTGAAACCACAGGTCAGCGCCCGACTCAGGAAGGGGCCGAGGTGACCTGGGGCCGCTCCTCAGACACTCAGCCCCGCCCGCCGCCCCACGGTTTTAAGGCCCGCCCACTGCACATGGCGCCATCTTGGTTTTCAAGCGTCCAAGCTGCTTTGCCTTTTCGTGCCTGTTTTCACGCATGGGGCCCTCAACGGTCAACATACGTCCCTGGAGTTATGGCAAGAGTCACACCCACCCCGTGGACACCTTCTGGGCACACCCGCCTCCCCACCCATCCCCGGGACCCACCGTCTGCCCGTCACTGCCGGACAGATCCCAGATACTCACGGCCGGCTGGGGGCGAGCAGCCCGGAACGGCAGACACCCCGCACGCAGGGCCACCCTCCCACCCCACTGGCCTCCCCCAGAGAGAGCGGGAAGGTGGACGTCCACTCCCCGGCCCACCCGGGGTCACAGACCCGTCTTTCCTCTGTCCTGCCTGGCCAGGGGAACTGGCTTCCTCATGGCCACACACACAGTCCAGTGACCCCCAAAAGATATGGACGGACAGTGGACCAGATGACCTCTCCCTGGCTGAGTGGATGACCTCCCTGGCCCACTGGACAACCTCCCACAGCCAACTGGACCCCCCAACGGCCAACTGGGCAACCTCCCCCTGGTCAACTGGGCAACCTCCCCCAGTCAACTGGGCAACTTCCTTCCTTCCTCCGGCCGACTGGGCAACCTCCCCCAGATGACTGGACAACACCCCCCCACCCCGGCCAACTGGACAACTTCCTCCTGGCCAACTGGGCAACCTCCCCCAGATGACTGGGCAACCTCCACCCGGCCGATGGACAAGCTCCCCCAGCTTACTGCTCCACCTCCCTCCTGGCTCTTTCTGGGCTCCTCAGGGACTCGGTTCCGGGCGATTCTGCAGGACAGTGTCCAGCAGGAGGCCAGGAAGGCTGCAGGGGCCGAGCTGACCCGGAGCCTGGGCCGGCGTCTGCCCGTCCCTCCTCGCTCGCTCTCCTGGTCGCCCAGCACTGGTGCAAACGCCTAATCTTGCATGATCAGGGCCGCAGCTGCTTATCGCAGGAAGTGTCCTCAGCGGCCGCTGGCCCGCCACGGAAGCTGCCCCTCCGCCCCCTGCCCAGCTCAGCCGCCTCCTCTGGGGCCCCTTTCCAGGGGCTGGGCCGGTGGCTGTGGGTGGGGGTGGGATGGGCAAGCGGGTGGCAAAGCCGTGACCGCAGGCGGGACGGTGTCTGCTGGGGGTCGGGACAGACCAGGGCCCCGCGCGGTCAGCAGACACTCCAGCTGCTGCGTCCCGGGAGGAGGGAGTGGACACAACAAGGAGCTGCCAAGGCGGGACCCCTGGACTCGCGGGAGGGAGGTCAGTCTCCCGTGGGGGGTCAGTGCTGTCCCAAGAGGGGCTGCTTGTCCCCCAGACATGGGAGCAGTGGCCGGAGCGGCTGGGGGCAGAACAAAGGACCACAGAGCAGGACGCCTGAGCCCGGGGTCCCCAGGCCGCCCCTCGGGTCCCCAGGGAGTCCCTCCTGCCCCCTCCTGCCCCCTCCCTGGATGGTGGCCGCGTCCCCATGTCCCCTCCGGTCCCCCGGTCTGTGGCCCCGTCTTATAAGGAAACCGCCTTTGCACACAGAGGCCGCCCCCTCCAGCCTGGCCCCGCCTCAATTTGATCAGTGACACCTGTGTCCAGCTGTTCCCCAATAAACTCACCTGCTGGGCACCCAGTGGGGAGTCTGGACACAACTGAACCCTGACGTTGGTGCAGAGAAAGGGGCTGCTCCGGGGAGGGGTGAGGGAGGCGGGGCCGGGCTGGGGTTGGGGATCAGCGGGGGCCACATGGCCCCCAGAAGTGACCACTCAGCTCTGGGGGGCGGGGGCAGCTGGTGGACACCTGACCTCGCTGCCCGGTGCCGGGGCAGAGCCGCGGCCATAAACCAGCTGACGGGGAAACGGCCACTGTCGCTTCTCAGCCCTGCCAGGATCACCCACCCCGGGGAGCCACAGGGGCCAGTAGGACGGCAGCCCCGAGGGCACCCTGCCTGGACCGCGTCCAGGTAAGACCGGCCGGGCAGGGGAGCAGCCCAGACACAGGCACGCTGGGGCCTCCCCAAGCCCACTGGCTCCGACGGCAGAGACCTGCCGGGCGCCCAGATGGCTGACCGTCCAGGACCCAGACGGAGGGCAGCGGAGGCATCGTCCACTCAGGGGCTGCTCAGGGCTGGCCTCGGGGCCCTGCTGGTGGTGGGGTATCCTGTGAGGCGCCCGAGGCTGCCCACGTCTGCACAGCCTGCCAGGCGCTGGCCCTTCCTTCCCCACTGGACGTCCCCAGGTGGGGCCTCCTGATGGACACCCGTCTGCTGCAGCACCCCAGGGTCTCGCTGCTGCCCAGGGTCCCCCGGGCACCCCGATATCCTCAGCCTGCAGGATTGGAGCCCCCGGTCAGGGAGGAGCCAGGGACAGGCTGAGCTGGTTAGACGGGTCCTGCTCCTGTCCCCGGGACCCCAGGACGGCCACTCACCCCTCCTGTGGGGCTCCTGCCCCCCCCACCAGTGGCCATCCCGGGAGCTCAGTTCTTTCCCGGCACCCGCCCACCCGTCCTGTCCACTTCCCTTGCAGCCCCGTGTCCGCAGGAGCTGCCCGGCCATGGCCGCCCTCTGGCTGGCCGCCCTCCTGACGCCCGCGTGCTGTCTGCTGCCCTCGGGCCCAGGTAGGCGCGGGGTGGGGGTGGGGCCCGGGGGTCACCACTGCCCGTGGGGCCAGAGGCCGTCTCCCGCTTGTGCAACTGCCCACTGTCAGAGCCGGACGCCAGTCCCGTGG